ATCTGATGTAAGTTTTACAACTTCAGAAAGTTGTCCGAGGTTAAATAAACCACGTATAAATCCCAGTTACTACAAGTAATGCCATTAATTCCTTGTAAACATAAGATTCAAGCTGATAAGCTCTGCACAAACCACTGGTCCAGAAGCAATTCACCAAATCCTTTTAAGATCCGTGCGGACGAAAAGACTTGTAATAAGATATTGTCACGTTCTACTATAATCTTATATCGTGATAGTATTACAAGTTTCTCCAAGCAACTTTAATAGCTCTTAATTCTTTTATATGCTATTTTAACTTTAACCTACCAATAAATAATGTGACATATATACACATATAATATATATATATATATATATATATATATATATATCTGTATTACATTTAAATTGTAGATTTATATTAAAAAATCGCATATAAAATATAATATGAATTTTATGAAATATTAAAGTAAATGTACATATATAAGGGCCTAATTACAGACAAATTTGCGTAGCTGCATGTGCACAAAGAAAATTCTCCAGTCACATTGCTATCATAAAGATGCACGTAAAATATATGATTGGATAAGTTTCTTTATGCATATATAATCATGCAGGTTTATCTGAATAGGCCATCACTTACATCGCTAATTTAATACAGGATCTTTTGATTGAATGGTTCAATGGCTCCATGGCTCCAGCCGCTCCAGGCACACTGCACCAGGCGTTGTGAACGGCTGTGATCAGTGATCAATTACAATGATCAAGACGCGGTTTTGATTTTGTCCGAATAGGCCTCGACGAATAGCACTCGGTTACCTCGTTACCTGATTGGTCGATCCAGTGAAGAGAGCACTGTGTTGGCTGTGGCCAATCGCGACGTGTCAAACGCTCCCCTCTCCGCACAGTGAGCCGCGAGCCTGGCCGGGCCTGGCGGCTGGCCGGCTGGCTGGCGGTGCTCGATTACTCCCCTTTTCGGGGGGGAATTAAAGTAGAGGTTACACAGGCATTTGCCGTGCATATGAGTGCCGAGAATTTTGATCTCGATGTAATATTTTTGTACAGAAAAATTAAGAAATCAAAAGACACCATTCGGTCCGTTGCTACGTTCATATTTCGTGAAAATACGAAGTAGATTTGGTGGGAAATCCGAGAAAGTAATTTCTACGTGCATTCAGCGTTCGACAGGATTTTTGAACAATTTAACACCAGCCAACGTGTCCCAAAAGTTTGCAGGCGGATAATTTAGTTATAGACATGGCCGGGAATTTTTGGCAGAGCTCGCATCAGTAAGTTTAGACCGTTTCGTGTAGCGGCGAAATCTCGACAAGCGAGTTTCGATTTTCACGAGATTTCTTGTCTTTTCCATAGCCAACAGTGGTTACTGGATAAACAGGATCTGATCAGGGAACGTCAGCATGATCTGTCAGTGCTTACGGAAGAGGAATATCAGAAAATATTTATTTTCTTTTCTAGCAGTAAGTTGAAATGATCCTCTCACACCTGATGGAGATTGACAAACTCATTCTAAAGTATAGGTACCTGTCAATTGATGGAACACCTTTGTGTCTATCTTATTGTTGATAGACACGTTTATTTTCGCAAATTATGATCCAATATCAATCAAAATACAAGTTCACATGAATAATTTTGAAATATATTGGATAACTTGTGAAATGTTTCACACACAGCGAAACTCTGCTTTGCTTTGTTTTCTTGTTTCTATTATAACGAAAATAAGTTCAGTGTACTTATCCATATTTCAATCGTCAATTATTAAATTCATTAAAGGAATTTTTTTTTCCCTTTTACTCCACCGGCCGGTGAATTATAGCGCCTTCAACCTTCTCGCAAGGTTACACAGCGCATTGCACTGCTTTACTACTTTAAATGAATTTAACATTTAACGAGGCTGTAATTGACCGTTTATGCATACAGAAATCTGTACCGCATTTTGTCACATAATTACTATTACAATTACAAAGCACACGTAATGTAATCTGTGTAATTATATCCATGTGTAAATCCTGTCACTAGTGATACAGATGATAGGTGAACAGTTAAAATTGAGGCAGCAAGTGGTAGCTACTGCGACAGTGTATTTTAAACGATTTTATGCTCGCAATAGCTTAAAATGCATAGACCCTCTATTATTAGCTCCTACTACAGTATTTCTGGCGTCGAAAGTAGAAGAGTTCGGAGTAATCTCTAATAGTAGACTGATATCGACAATGGGAAATGTAAGTAAGTTCCATGAAATATTACATTCGCTGTTACATCTCGTCGGGGATCAGTTATGCACCTAACGAAATGATGATTGTTTAATTTAACGTTGTGTCTATTTTTTTCCTTATAGTTAAGAACAAATTTAGTTACGCGTATTCGCAAGAATTTCCATATCGCACAAATCACATCTTGGAGTGCGAATTTTATCTTTTGGAACATTTGGACTGTTGTTTAATAGTATATCAACCGTACCGTCCTTTGTTAACATTAATTCAGGATATAGGACCAGACGACCAGCTACTTATGCTCGCGTGGCGTATTATTAATGACAGTCTGAGAACGGACGTATGTCTGTTATATCCACCTTATCAAATAGCTATTGGTAAGATCGAAATAATCGTGTTTTTTTTTTCATTTTCAATACTTTAACGTTACAAGAGAACTTAATGGTGATTTATATTTTTCTTTACAGGCTGTCTGCAAATAGCTTGTGTGATACTGCAAAAAGATCTCAAATCGTGGTTCGCAGAACTGAACGCAGATATGGAAAAGATACAAGAAATAGCGCGGTATATAATAAATTTGTATGAATTGTGGAAGAAGTATGACGAAAAGAACGAGATGCCAGCAATATTAGCTAAAATGCCAAAGCCAAAGGCAGCGCCGCAGCGTTGACAGCAAGCTCTCGACTCGCCGAACGTTTGGGACTCATGCTAATGCAGTGAAATGCTTCAACTGAAAAAAAATGTCCTTTTTTCCTCCCAATCGCTATCGGAGTTGACAACGAATATCATTCTGCATTTGTATCTGCGTAAAAAATTTTAATCCATACGTGAAGCTATGTTTTAAAATATTTGCAAATAATAAAATGCAGTATTATTTAACATTTCTGTATTCTGTTGCTCGATATAGTGTATGAGCGGAAATGGTACACTTAAATGACTATACAACTTGATTTAATGTTCATCTATCTGACTGAATGAACTATTAATTTATATTTCCATTTACATGCCATCTACATGTTTCATTAATTGTATACAATATTGTTGATTTAAATTATAAATATGTTACTTGCACCACAAAAAATATTCGAAACATTCTAATTAAATTTACTTCAAAAATGTGGTGTTTAGAAGATATTGAGTTAATGACTGTATTCCGATTGGAAATTTATTTATTGTATTATGTAAAAAATTTTAGTATGATAAATCAAATTGAATGAATTCTGAAAACAATTCCTTCCTCATTGTATAAATTTTATAATTGGAGTAGGAATAAAACAGACATTAAAAATATCTACATATTTACTTCATTTAATATTTGTTGCATTATCGAATCCTAGTCCAATCTGAAAGAGCTTTTGATTAAAAAGAAAAACTTATTGCTTCCGTAAAAAATTAATACAAATTATCTCGGACTTCTCGATATTTTTGTGCAGTCACGTTAGAAAGCATTATTGACGTAATTGAATAATTAATTTTTGATTACCAATAATTTCATACTTCTATACTATAAAACAAATCGGTTTTTTATATATTCGATCGGCGTCAATAATACAGGGAGCTTTGCCTATTTTCACTCTGATATTTTTTTATTGGCATTAAATATTTAAACAAACATTTATTACATAATTCTATGCAGTTATTTTAATAATGCCGATAGTTTTTATCAAGAATATATTAATTTATTCTTGTACTTACTGCTTGTTCGTCGGATTCTTTATCGCCTTCCCATTATTCCTCCGGAGTTTTGTTGACTTCTTTGAATTCAATCATTCTTTGTACGTTTTCACACTATGAAGATTGAAGCAAAATTTCTCTCAACATCTAATTTCGTCTGTCATTGTCATTAATCGTTGTTAATTAATTAACACAGAACTCTCGTATATTATTTTTCAAATTAACTTTTATCATTATTTCTGCTATTAAATTCATAAACAAAATTTATTGTTAGAAATTAAACTTGAAAATTAAATAATTCTCTCAATATGTGCGTCTTCTTCAGCTACGTCGAAGTTGAAGACAAAAAAATTATACACGTAAACGGTTCCTACATCACGTTACGTTCATATAAACAACTTCTTAACGATGAAATCGTTAAGATTTTATTTTGACAAGTCGGGCTTTTATTTTAAAAAATGATAACAATTATAACGTTATAATTGTAATGATAATAACTATCTCTTTGAATTTTTATTAACGCACGAACAGAAAAATAAATCTATAACAGATTTCAAAATACGTCTTCACTTTCATATGCAACTCGTCAATTTTTTTTAAATTTCATTTATCATTGCTGTACGATATAGAGTTACTTTTTACCGTGAAAAATCACTCAACTCACTAATTTTATCGTTCGATAATCCAACATAACATTGCTTTCCTTTTCCTTTAACCACAAATCACTGGAGCGACGAAAGGGCGGTGAAATAAGAAAAAGTTACTTTCATCACCTTAAAATTCAAATTGGCTACGTACTTCCATAATACTTATAGATACTGCACGAATTGGAAAGATTTCTTACCTTAACATAATTCTCTATCGACAGCACGTATATTTTGCCGGCCGTTAATGTACAAGGCACAAAAGCCCTGTAAAGCAATATGCTCAGCAACCGTACCGTTCTTCGCGACATTTTGTACCACAGCATGTTATATCTAACAACACAATAAGCCTATGCTAATGCATACTTTTTATACTAATATCTATATATGTTATTTTCGTATATCTCTAGTAAAATATTATTTTCGAATGTCTATTTTGATTGAAACATTTAAAATTTGAAGAGAACAAAAAACACGATTATAGTAAGAGTTAAACGCAGTATTAGAAAGGAAGAAGTTTTATTTAGATACTCTTTCTCGAAAAAAATCTATCTGCGTTTTCTTTGTTTTACTACGATCACATGGGTAGCTCAATTGGTGCGATATATTTACGCTTTGTGAAATATATCTGCGCTATGGTCCATTATCTCTTGGGCGGGGTAACTCAAAACGAAAAGATGCACGAAACCACCTAGTCCCATCGATACGAATTTGATCATCTCTTGCTTTTGATCCTTCAAAGACATTATCTGCAAGACAATTAAATTCTAAAGGGCACGAAAACAATTTCTAATCGGCAACGTATTTTAATACCGTTCCGCGCTCACTTGCATTCCGAGGAGAGTCATAATGATGAAATGCAGGAAGATCATCGAAAATGAATATAGTGCATAGAAAGACTCCAACAAATCGACATATCTGAAAGATATAAAAACAGATACATCGAATGCAAAATATCTTGCAAAAAATTCAAAACTCACGTAAGGCTCAGTTGATGTTTCCGTAAGAGAAGCACCAGTTCGCGATAGATCTCGTCATCGTAATCTTTGCGCTTATTACAAATTACGTCCTTAAAATTGTTTTTCTTTACACTTGTCATCGAGGTCAGATTTTCTAGCCGATGCCTTTGAAAAACGATTGAAATTTTATCTATACGAATATTTAAAGAAGAAAAAATATTCTTTTATATTAAGTCTACTAAGTTCTATCTTTATGCAGTTTTCTGTTTTAAATCCTTGTAACTCGGGTCTTAATCAAAATGTTTAAACTGCAATTGGAAATTAAAGAATAAAAAGAATCGCTCTCTTTCTGAAAATTTACTCGGAGTGAGACGTCTAAAAAAAAATGTAAGAATTGAAAAGGGAAATAAAAAAAAAGTGATCCCTGCCTTTCTTGACAAATTTTCAACTAATAAATGATCTCGTCTGACTTTTTGAATATATAATCGATATAACTTTGATCAATAATAATTATATCGATTTATTTTATTTAAAAAGATAGATAAAATCATTATAGTTAATTGCCTGTACAAAGGCAGAGGAATCATTTATTTTTTTTACCCTCACTTTTAATCTTTATATCTATCAAAAAATTAATTTTTAATTATTAATAATTTCATACTTCTATACTACGAAACAGATCGTTTTTTTTTTGTATATTCGATCAGCATCAGTAATACAGGGAACTTTGAATATTTTCGCTCTGATCTTTTTTTATTCTTTTTCTAGGCCTTATCGCCTACTATAGATTTTTGGAAAGAGAGGATCTCCTTTTATCCTTAAATGTCAACACAATTCAAAAATTTTGATTAGGACTCGAGTAACAAAGTTTAAAATTAGGAAAGGTCGTAAGGATCTTAATGGGTTAAATAAAAGTTTGTCAGAAAAATAAGTGTTACAAGTACGATACCCGATAGAGGCAAACAGACCGCACGCGTGCAGCGTGAACATCAGATAGCTTGTATCGACTATTACCATGGCTGTCATAGACAATACAGTTAACGTGTACGAGTGGAATAATACAGGATAGAAATACTCGTCCCTGTCGAAGCTGTAGTCGATATCGAATAGATATATGCGAGGGCGCGATGTATTGAGAGGCATGAGGAGATCCAATAATTGCGGCATTAGCGGCATCAGCATGAAAATACTCATTAACGAATAAATCATAACTGCAACTCGAATTATTATTACGATGTATAAACGCACAAACGAACAAACGATCGAGCCGCGTCATTTAGATCAGGTGCATTTGCAATTCACGTATACGGTAAAAGTAAGATCGAGTGCGATACGTGACGCGTGACGAGCCGGCGTTATAAGCCGCAAGTGACTTATCTCATTATTACCGGCGTAAATTATCGTCATTTTTCTTCCTAAGATAGCGTACTCCTCCATAGCTTTTACCTCCAAGGAATGCGTGAAGATGCGCCAATGATAATTGATGAGCGACAATAGGTATTCTATCTAAGGATGGATGATTGAAACAATTAATTGGCGGTTTACATCTTGCGGTTCTTTTTTTAAGGACCCAAGCGAAATTGCAGCCCCGCGAAATCTTACGTTTTTATTTTTGAGGACCACAAGAAATATTTTAATGTAACCGCCGATTGAAAGCAGCACTATGATGAAGCATTCGCAGTCCTCCATCAGCTTATGCCATATTTCCGTCATTCGTACAAACTGAAAATCGGCGATAATTATTGCGAACACCTCTGCGCATCTTCAACGTTTCACCTACCTGTATCAAGAGCAATGTAAATAGCCGATCTGAATAATTTAAAAAAAAATCGCGATGAAATACGATGAATATGTTATTTTTTACTTAAATATTTTTTATAACTCTGAAATATGAGATATATAAAGGTTGTTTTAGATCAACCGCACTTTCCTTATATTTTGAGCAATTATAAAATAATTTGTTTTTTCTTAAAAAAATATATAAAAAATAAATTTTAAGTTCGAAACAATTAGAATTGAAAAATTCTCTGAAAAAATTAACTATAATTAAAAATTGTATGTAAATTATTATAATATCGTTACAAACGATTATTTAATTATTTACTTTGGGGATTAATTACTTTCTTACAATTAATTATTTATTAGACAAATAATATCATGAGAAGATATACGTTTTGGATATTTATGGGAAAATTTTCATATTTTATCTAGATTTTTAAAAAATAAATTAAATTTCTTTAGATTTTATAAGTTTTCTTCGAAAATTATAGAATAGAATTATAAAATTTTAGAAAATTGTAGAAATCTTAGAATATTTCAGAATTCAAATATAAATAAAATCCTAGAAAAGATATGGATTTCTCAGCACTTGTGAAAAGCATCTTCACATAAACATATTCTTCTCTCTTTCTCTCGCAAATTTTATTCGCACGATGTTAATTTTTATAGGACTACATAAAAAAAAACGGCGGGAATTTACCTCAAGAAAACCGATGCTGAAAATTACAGTTGTTGTTAAGGTCGGCAACGCTATCTTCTTGAATGTACTTTGCGTCGGCCAAGTGCCCATTTTCGACATGAGGATCTTGTTAACATTGTAGTAGTGCTTCACAGTCAATTGCATCTTCCCGACTCGGTTTTGCGTCATGGATGTCTCCCTCAAGATCCAGCTGATATTTTCCGGACGATACCCATATCCCGATACTATACTGTGCGTATCCCCTAATAACGTGCTACGTCTATGCTAACGTTGCCTGCGATAATCACAGGTTGTCGGGAAACGCAATACGCATGCCGCGCCCCATCATTTTCTATTCATCATTGTTAGAGAGAGGTAAAAAAAGATGTCGCAGAAATTATACTTCGCAAAACGTCAATCGCCGCGGTGACACACGATACTCGTCCATATGTCTCCCGCCCATGACTCGCGTTGCGTAGGAGTATTATGTTTTTTTTATATTCTTTTTTCCTCTGGCAATACCGTATAATTTTTCATGCAAATAGTGGTCGATAAGCGTGGCAGGGAAGCGACACGAAGGACTGCGCGACATGAGCTAAATAAATTACTACGAAAAAATGGCAAATGTCTATGAAGGTTCGCGTAACACGAGGGGATACATGCCATTCAAAAACTGATTGATCTTTTTTTTTTTAATTTACAAGAGTTTCGTGTCGAATGTTGCTATGGATTGGTTTATGTGACTGCCGCCGCGATTTAACAGAAATGTTCGCTCAGCAGTAAGGCAGTTCATATATCTATACACAATTAAACGTCGAAGCTTGTATTTGAATTATATGTATGTATAATAAAATATTTTTATTTTTCGTTTGTGTACTCTACAAAAAAATAAATTGCAACACAAAATCTGAAATTGTAAATTTTGACATTAAGATGCGTTATTGTCGTCCAGAAAATATTGCCTTTTTCGTGTTTTAAATTATTGATCAGATTATTTTACGCAGATTGATATGTGCTGGTTAATTTAATCTACAATTAATTCAACCAACAGAATTGTCTAAAATTTTAAATAAAATTTCTCAATACATAATTAGTTGTCGCTAATCTTTTTCCTATATGTTAACAATAAAAAATTAATAATTTTATTTATGTCAACGAAATAATAAGAATGATAAGTGAATCGGAGTTTAAAATTACCTTAATCCAACTTCACTATTTGATAAATGTATAATAAACTCGATTTATATCAATTTATATTTTTATCTACACGCCTAATTTCCTATATAAAAAAAATTAACTATTGATTTAAATTATAAATGTTATTTGCATAAAAACTACTAATCCAAAATGCGAATATCTCAAATGTATTTAATTTACTTTAGAAATGTGGTGTTGAAAAGATATAAAGGTTGACGGCTGTATTTCGATGAAAAATTTATTTATTATAATGTAAAAAATTGCAACAGATTTTAATAGAATAGTTTGAATTGGCAAATTCTGAATGATTCTTGATTTCCTCGTTGTGTAAATTTTATATAATTGGAGTAGGAAAACAGACAATATTAAATATATAAAAACTTACTTAATTGAATATCACACTTGCATTATCAAAACCTAGTCCGACCTGAGAGAGCTTAGACATCAATTAAAAAGAAAACATTATTTCTCCAATCTGTGTCAAGGATGCCTCTCCAGTTTTTCTAGGCACTTTTTTAGAACAAGATCTTTCGTAATTAATCAGGAAACATAACAACATACACTGAATGATTAGAACTAAATCTTGTTAATTGAATATTAACTCGAGCCTTTTGAGTATCGTTTCCAAAACTTTTTTACATCATCGTGACCGGCTTTGGTAACCACCATGGTTCTCTTCCTACAAGATAAAGAATATATTTTATCATTAATTGTAACACTTGTCACGAAATTTTTCAGCGTAAATTATATGTGTAATAAATATTTCATACAACATTTGTGTTTTAACATAACAATTACCTTTCACTTTGCCAAATTAATACTCCGGTTGAGACCGCGTGATCCCTAAGAACCTCGAAGTCGGTCTGAGATAGAAATTGACTATACAGAACTCCTTCGCTGAACGAAAATCTATTTCTCTCGTTTTCCCACAACTTAATTTGGTCTACAATAGTAGGTGGTAATATAGGCGGCCCTGCTTCTATCATCTTACTATGTGCATGTTGCTGCAAATAGCTGTTGATATGAGAAAATATGTAGTACACATAAAACAATATTTTTATTTAAATCATTAAACATACCCTACTATTTGCGAAGCAGTTATTCCACTCTTCAATGCTTGTCTTACGGAATCTCTTGTCAATATTGATACAACTAAATTTGGAAACCTACACACAGAATAAAATATAATAATAATTGTTTATTTAAATTTTTTAATATACATCTCGTACATATGTTGCGCTTACCTATACAACATTTCGCAGAAAAGTCCGAGCAGTGCGACTTGCAAGTTTGAATTTGTATAAGCGTAAACTCGATAATTCGTTTCCACAACTATATACCCTTCCTTGTCTGTGTCTCTGGTCAAAGGTTTATTTTCGCCAGTAGCGATGTTTAACGCTAATCGAGTTGGATAAAACCTTGCAACACAGAATATTAACAAGGATATCAGTAGATTGAATTATCTTGCACAATTAACACGCATCATATTTTATCTATATATATATTTACCTTCCTGCTTTGCGTTTTCGTTGGTACACAAGTCCGAATTCTCTTAAATGTTGCAAAAATGTCAAAAGTCCCTCGGACATACCTTCGGTACTATAATCTTTACCAAGGGTGGAAAAATTTAATTGAAACAGGAAGGTAAGGCATTCTACTAAATCCAGACCACGCGCCTCAATTGTGTCAAGATATTGTAGAATAAAATACCATACCTACAGAAAGAAAATATTTGTGATGTATAAAACCGCGTATAAAGCAACGTGTGTAAAAAGAGATTGTTCATTGTATTAATATTATGAGTATGTAATAATTAGGTACATTCTAAACATGAAAATATATCTCTAGCATGGCAAAGAAAATATCTCTGATATAGAACTGACAATTACCTGCGAGGCTGTGTCTAAAAGCAAAAATTGAAAACCAGCTTGTGTTATAACTGGGCTTCCATCAGCTTCGTCTCTCTTCATTAAACCAGCATGTAGAAGTATTCTTACAGCATCGGCAGATATGCCTAACGCAACATTTTAAAATATATTAAATGTCTTATAGTCTTATAATAGACATATAAGATAATAGATATTTGCAATTTATTGCAAATTTTATGTACAAAATATGACTAAATTATAAAATACTGCAAAACAAGAATGTACCTCGGAAACAAGTTCCATTCGAATGAAAACTACTTAAAGTACTTGAAGTACAATTACATATATTTTTTATTTACGTATGCACAGCATGTCGGCATAAAATTTCAAAATTGTCATGAAAGACAGCCGTGAATTTATTTGTTTCGAGAAACTTCTTGTCAGAGATTGAGACGTTCTTTTTACAAAAAATTGTATATGTATACCTAAAGACAACAGTTCATTCTAAGTTTGCAATAAATATAGAAACGCACGTGAAAATTTTGCGTAGCATCATTTATATAACAAGCTCTACCTTAGTGCAGTCACACGATATGTTTTCAAGATGTCTTGAGAAATCTCTTACCCTCCTGCTGCTGGGAGCCGACCATGTAGTGTAAGACGCACTCCCACCTTTCCAACGCGTAAGAATCCAGGAAGGCGACGTCTCGCGGTTTGCTGTCGGTTTCCAGCTGATTGGACATGGTCCACGGCTTGCCGCCGCCCAGCAGCACGATCTTCAAGTTCTTCTTGAAGGTGTTGTTCAGGATCCAGCCCGGCAGCCCGCCGGGTATGGACGCCTCCTTCCACACGTACAGATCGTTCAGGACCTGCACCACCTTCTGGTGCTCCTCGAAGTAGAGCTTGGAGCACCAGGAGGCTATGACCGCCTGCGGCACCGGCTGCTCGACGAACAGCAGCCTCATGACGTAGTGCTTGGCGATGAGCGGCAGCTCGCGGAACACGGCCAGGCATATAGGCGGCCTGTGGTACAGCTTGTTCAAAGTGTCGGCGGTGCGCGACTTTAAATACTCCTGCAGGTTCTTGCACTGCAGGCCGCTCGGCCGCAACAAGTTCTTGCCGCTCGTCACGGTGGACATGTTGTCGTCTTTCGAATTGTCACCGTGCCAATCTCAACGCGCGGACAATCCCACGGCAATGCAATCACGCTGCGATTTCATTCTTTACATTGTTTGTTGTGTATTTAATACACAACAAAGGTAGGAGAGATATCGGTTGTTTCGAACAAAATTTGTGTGTGACAAATATTATTTTCGCCGCGAATAAACGCTGTCAAGCTTACTTTGTATTCGATCCTTCGAACATTTTACCACATTTCACTTGGCGTGATATTATTTATCACAAAATTATCCCTCATTGCACTCGGCGACTTATTCCAGTTTACACTTGTGCCGGGACAAATATACTTATAAAAAAACACAGAGAGAAGAACGAAACAGAGGAGAAACTGGCGTGACTGGCATGTAGTGCCCTCTGTGCGCGCGATTGCAGTATTATTAAAACGTTTTCATGATGATAAACGAGAACATCATGATGCATTTATTATCTACTATAAAAGAATTAATTAATTCCTAGAAATCCTACATCTATACTGACGGTATATAATCTAAAGAACATTTTTAATAAATTATTTAATATAATTTGCAATGAAACAATTTTATGGTATTAGACAAATTATTGGAATTTTTATATATATATAATTTTCTATTTTTTATGTTTATTGAAACATTTTTGAATTTTGTTTATTAAAGTAGCATATTTCTGATTATAATATTTAATTGCATTCGTCGCGTTTGTTTTCTCTTTTTTTCTCCAAAAATTAAGTGTACATACATTACGTCATATTAAGTACAACAAGTGCAGATGAGACGACGCCCGATCGTCGCGACGTGATTGGTTCCTTCAATTTGAAGTTTCTCAAGATCGCAATCGCGTGATTTGCGCGCCCAAAACGTTAGTTCTAGAAACTTCTCTAGAGAGTAGAGACATGCCGGGACGATGGTCGATGATGCGGTCGCATCCAAGTGTGTATATATCTGTATCTCTCGCTGTCGTTATCGCTTAAGAGAGTATCTCGCGTGTGAATACAGTGTGTACGCGATGGGAATACTGCAGTGATAAAATACAGTAAGGGAATACAGTGACGGATTGCAGTGACGGATTGCAGTGACGGAATGCAGTGACGGATTGCAGTGACGGATTGCAGTGACGGAATGCAGTGACGGATTGCAGTGACGGATTGCAGTGACGGATTGCAGTGACGGAATGCAGTGATGGAATACATATATGTGAATCACGAGTACTTTGTGTGGTGCGTCCGCGTTGGAGTACTAGCGATCCGGAGCTCCTGTGCTCCGTGGAGCGTCGAACAAGGAGCCGCCGTTCTAGCCCGGATATTTTGCTCTGAATACAGCCAGGAATGCCAAGATACGTGTGCAAGGATCATCGCCAGGTAGCTTATGCATGTAACGATAATCAGGGATTAATATCTGCGACTTCGCCGAGCTGTCTTCAATTTAATTTTTCCAACACGAGAAAGAACCGCGTACGTTGAAACCGAACGCTGTGCTCCGTTAATTCGCGTTCCGGTGGCGAATTTTGACATTTTCAGGTCTTATAGCGTCGACCCGATGGAAAATACGACGTCGGATATAGTTTTTTGAGGGATAAGGCGACAGATTCGTCAAGTTCGCGATCCGCGCGATCATAGCGACGCTTAGCTAAATGTTACCGTTGAATGCAATATGGCAGCTGTACGACAGTTTTATTAGGTGCTTTCACGCGATCGTATCACCCACGCCATCCACACAGCGGATCTTCACCGCGAAACGGAAACGCGATATCGGTATTATCGACTATCGAATTAGTTGCATATGGTAAATAGCGTTCCTATGGTAATAGCAGTTATTTGAGATCGTCGATATAGCAGTAATTCACGTCGAAAACTGCAATGGTAACATTACTCGATCAATAAACTTCATTAGATCCCGGTTGTCAGTCTCACGAGGATATCGCATTCGTGTTACAAATTGCGTAAATGTCAACATTTCTTACGTCTCGATGACGTAGGGCGACTTTCTAATTATTGCATAAGCATTTCAAACTCCGATTAACTTATCAAATAATATTGTGTGTCAGCTATTAGTAGTTTGTTAATAAATAGAGTAATTAAAATCTTTTGTTTAATACGTCAAAAGAAAATTAGGAAAACGAATAGATTAATTGACAAGTTATTCAAAGTTTGAAGTATTAATTATTGTTCATTTAATGTTTATTTCTACCAAAAGTAGATTAACTTAAAATTTAATTTACCTTTTTAGTTCTAAGAATTCGAAAAAGATAGAATAAATAAACTGAGATTAAAGTTATTTACATTTATAAAAATTTAGACCGTTCAAACTTTGATCATATAATTGTAGTTAATTAATTTATAAATCAATAGAATTCATGCCTACAAAATTTTTAATTATTTGTATATAATTTGTCGGTCGGTTTTAATTTGATCTTTCTTATTTCTATGTATTTTAAAGTATTAATTAAACAACAAAACATTAATTATTATATTACATTATATAATAAAATAGTGTAAGTATTTTCTTGACAAATTAATTATAAAAACAAATTAATACATTTATTAATTAGAGTTAATCAGAGTTTGTGTGATTAAAGCTATCCTTATAGGAGACCTCCTAAATTCCAAGTATTTTATTATACATGGTGAAAATGATTATACTGTATTACGTGTATAATATAGTAAGATATTAATCTCAATGAATTCACATATATGATTAATTAAAAGTTAGTGCCGATAAAGATATTTGGAATGTATTTTTACGGGTTCGGCCGCTATCCGAATCACATTTTCAAGATGCAATCTTGCATCGTTTAGAGTAATGCATTAACATTGTAGCATTTTTTTGTACATTTGCGCGATTTGTATTCCAGTAAACAGCAATTAATAACCAACCAATAATAACATTATATCAATATTATAATTAATTTTTTATTCAACAATGTAACTGTTACGTACAATATGTTATATTACACTAATTGTTGAATGAAAAATTAATATTGATGTAATATCAATGTTAATTGATATATATCGGGATTTTACGTTCCCGTGCATCCGATCGAGGTACATACATTTCGACCTCTGTCCTTCATCCGGCTCGCGGCTGGAGACATCAACGGAATCTGAAACTGACGTTCTCGTGCTCCTCGTTCGTATTCGTCACCCCGGTTTCACAGTCAATGACTCCACCGTCGCGTTGCGACGATGGAGAACGGCGGAGGACGGACGGTGTCGCGCTTCACGTGTGCTATCCTCCGGCGAGAGTGGAAGAGAGACGAATAGCGAGAGAGAGAGAGAGAAAGAGAGGAGGACAAGAGAAGAAGGAGGTAAGAGAAGGTGGAAGAAAGAAGGAGAAAGAGCGAGCTTTTCCTACGTGAACGCTCGCAACGACATACGTATGCGCGCGTACCGGGCACGAGGGAAAAGAGAGAAGCAGGAGAGTGAAAGAGTGAGAGACATGTGCGAGCTATTCCTGTACGCGGCGAGTCGCAAGCGGCATAATAACGCCATGTTGTTGCTTAGCACGGTGAACTCTCTGACGCGAACGAGTAAAATTCGAAGCGGGTGATGTTATCTATGCTAAGTCGGAACAACCGAAATAATCCCTTAGTAGCACAATTCTCTCAATTCGGTATACATTGGGGATATATTGGGCCAATATTGGGCCAATAAAATGTGTTACTACATGAGGGTCCTGATTTCCTTAAACGTTCTCCAATTCTCGAGAATACATAATTGTAGGTACTTTTGTACTCGGAGGGGAGAGGAGATTGATTTGGGATATTCGAGCATACATGGGGGATATATGTATTTGTCGATGACACCGAAAGGTGTCATTAAGCAATAGAAATGATTCAATGAAAACGATGCAGTCAGCTCTAAATATTATTATTACGATATCCGGTACATGTATTCATTGCTATCTAAGTAACTCACGTTTCTCAGAATATCGTATATGACATTAAGCTTATAACCTCACAATTTAAAATCGACCTTTTTCCCGAACTAAAAGTGAGAAACCAAAATGATCGCTTCCGAGATCGGGGTGATCGGGATGACGGCTTTCGATTATAAACGAAGGGCTTTTCGCTTGCGATAAATTAAAATTTAATTAAATCTAAATTAGTTCTCTGAATTTCAGCATTCTTGAATAGATTAATTTGAATTATTATCATATTCGATCTTTTCGATTTCGGCAAGATCGTCATCATTTTGCGAAAGAGAGCGATTCTTTCCATCCAACTGAAAAGCGACGAGTGCTTTTCGAAAGGTTCTCCCGCTATTACGCGCGCAGTTTTTGTAATTTTGTTTCTAAGTAAGCACTTGACAAATTCTCGCTCTTCCTCTTTTTTCCAATAGTATCATCATTATATAGTCAAATAATGTGATATATTAATGAATTTTTAATTATTATTTTTTTTTTATTTGAAATATTGGGATTAATTTTTATTTGAGCTTTTTATTAATAAAAAAAACGAAAGATTTCTTCCGAGCAGTTACATATTATACAATTTACGAAAGAAAATTCTCGAATCCAGATTAATTCTGGAATAAATCCAAATCCTTGAATAAATTGATTCGGAATATCATATATTACTTATATTCGATTCTTTCCATCGAAAGAATCCGAAGCGCGACGCGCGCTTTTCAGAGGATTTTCCCGCGGCTAATTGTAAAGAACGCGCACACCGCGATTCTTCACAATTCTGTTTCTAGGCACTTGGCGAGTTTCTCACTCCCTCTCCTACCTCCGCCGGTGTCGTCGTCGTTTCCCCCTCTATCCCGAAAGGGCTTTTGTATTCGCCTCTCTGTCTCCGGCACTTCCTGTGTTCCGCCAACACGTTCACCTGTCTACCGCCACCTGCCTCCGTATATACGTGGTTACCTTATAGGCGTGTACACGGGGGCCCGCGCGTATATGCCCCGTCGCGCGTGATATCCCGAGGGACCCTCTTAGTTTCGCCTAGCGCGCGGTGGGGCCGCGGTCTCGCGTCGCATGCACGTAGCACGTAGATACATACATACATACATAAATACATACATACATACATACTCGTCGCGGTAATGCGACCCGCACGCGATTGTGCAGTCGACTTTACGCTGTCGCGCGACCGCGGAGCGGACTATACGCACGCGAACGAGTTTCCCTGTATCGTCGTTCCGATAAGCGCGGGACGTTCGCCGCGGACGACGGCCGCGGCCGGACGATAGATAGACCGGAGAGGTTCGACGAACCCCAGACGACGCGCGACACACCACTTCCCCGAACGATCCTCGGAGACACATTCGTGGCTCTCGCGGGTATATTTCGTAAGAAACGGGCGTGCCTCGGTCTGGATGCGCGTCTCGCGGAGTGTCGAATCTGATCTGCCGCTCCGAATCTACCGAAAGGGAAATCTATCGTGATTGTATAGCAATATTTCGAACGAACACTCGTTCGATTCGCGCCGGTTCCGGGGCGGAGCATTGGTACCTAATTGTTAAAAAGTTGCCATTTGAAGTAAATATACAAGTTCGAGATAGGATAGAGAGACAAGTTTTGATGTAAATTAGACGGGAAAAATGAGCTTGAGGTATAAACTCGTTTCTACAACCAAGTGCGATTGAAGGGAAAGCTTTGGAGGCAAGTTCAAGGTATCCGATCCTGTGGTCACCGCGCGAGGACTGATTACGCTTGGCGATTTGCGCGATACCACCTGTCGACGCTATATTCTGTTAAAGAACATCGGCGTTCGTCCATCTCGACGACGTCTGCTTTTGGTTCCTCGAACGTGGACAACCGAACGTATCGATATAATGTCAACCGGATTATACATGAAACGGTAAGTTCGCGAGCAACACGATTATTCAACGTCGCGACTTCGCGACTGGAGTCATTGTGTAATAAAATTATATACTATTTGATTGACGATATATACGGAAAAAATTATTTACTAGATCTTTTGTACATAATACTAAACGTTTTCTTATTCGTTAATTCGGAATAATGTTGTGTGCTTAATTTTTAAGAGTAAATACTATAATTTTTTAAGAGTCTAGTGTTTGCTCAATAACGTTCTTACTTCATTTAATATTTTTCATCGTCCTCCGCGCGCGCCAACGTAAACGTACCTACAACGCAACGACGAGTATCGCGGTATCGGCATTTTCGCGCGGTCGACTTCGCGAAGCCTTAACTTTCCCTTATCTGCGTGTCGGCGTGCATACGCAGTGTCGTACACACGGGTGCAGAGATGGTGTCTCCTATAAGCCTCACGTCCACGATGCTAGAAATCTATCCGAGACGGAGAGAGAATTGACGAGTCACATTAGAACAATTCGGCCAACTGACCTACACGATCAATTCTCTTTCCGGTTCGAGATCTCGGTTTCCCGATCTCCAGCGTCGTGAACACAAGGATTTTTACCCGCTCGCATCCGGCGATGAGATTCGCTCGGCGATGAGCGACGCGCTTGAAAGGCGACCCCACTTACACGTAATTAATCGCACGGTCCGTCGCGAGGGGCCAGGTGATTCGCGTTCACTTCGTGGTGCCCTCGCGAATGCGGACCTCGCGGTAATCTCCGGGGCACCGGTTTCAAATGCGCCCGGCGACTGTATTATGTACATGCCTCGTACATGCCTATACGACACACGTGTGCACGCACGTATGTAATACGTAGGCGCGGAAGAGTGCGAGCGCACCCGATCGGGCGCGTTCTGCCGATCGAATTGGGCGGTAATGCGCCGCGCTTCGGTCTTCGGGGCAGCTGCTTCGTCGTCCGACACGTTCTGGAACGTTGTCGACAGCTGCGCGTACCGATTGCTCTGCGGCTGCCCCGATTCCCTGGCTCTGGTAGAATGGGTTCGATTAGAAAAGAAGAAGACGAAGAGATCAAGTCGGCGCTATAGGAATGTCGGAGCATTAAAAAAATAGGAGAACGAGCCAACAAGATGTCGTGTCTCGTGCAAAAGAAAAAAACGTCATGTTGTCTTGCCAGAACCCTTGGTATCAAGTTTTTATCTCGAGTCCTCGATTAATCTTAAAAAGATTGACAGCTTAATTAGAAAAATGGAATCTCTATTTATTAATATTGTAGACGATATTGTGATTTTTCAGATTTTTCAGATTGCAATCTCAATACTTGCAATTTTTAATCTCTCTTAATCTCTTTTCTTTCTCTCTTTGTTTTCCTCGTAATGCGGGTAATAGCAAGAGCTGGAAGTTTTCTGAAAATGATACCGCGCGATTGAAACGAAAAGAGATATTCAATTCAAGGTCTGAGATAAGCGAATAATAACGTCGACGATCCGACATTACTCTGAAGAATCCACTAACTTATCTATACGAAACGCTGTGAAACTTTCCTTTCACCTGGCTGTTTTGCGACACGAGTCTTCCATTGCACTTCCATTGCTAGCTATACATATACAAACGTCGATTACGCAAGTGTAAATAAATCGCAAGTAAAGGTTCATGCAGATATAGGACTGAAATATAATATAGGAATATAGGAATATAATATAGGATAGGTTTTATTCTCTCAATTTTTTTTTGTTACTCGAAAGAAGATAAAATTATTTCAAATCTATCGTAAGTTACGAATCTCAACGTAAGGACTTAAATGATAAAATTGACTTAATGATAAAATAAAAATGATAAAATGACAAAATGTTCGTTTAAACGAATCGATTGTATTATTATTTATTACTCAGCGAATAGTGACTGGTGCTAAAATGAGACTTGTTGAATGATATATATGTATATCTACATATCTACGTATTACATGTAACGAAAGTAAAATTGAATTATTATGACGCTAAAGAGAAACAAGCGCGTCATGCCATTTACGATATCACAAGTGGTACACGGAATATAAAGAAAAAAATTGAGGTTTAGAGATCAGTGAATGTAATACCGCTTCGTTTCGTTCTTATTGTCGAGATACGTCGCGCAACATCCATTACGAATGTGCCACGAGAGCTAGAACAGATGTGTGGGCAGGATAGGAAGTTTAGTTTTACACAAGAGAGGCAGCTGATGCGGAGACAGATGCAGGCAGATCTTTTCGTCTCGGAAAGGAGCAAGGACGCTTTTCTCTCTTGCGATACTGGTAGTTGGTTTCGAAACAGAATTAAGATGCGGGCTTTTCTTATACGGGATAAAGTAAATCATTGTTATACAGTCAACGATTACTCAAGGAAAACAACAATTTGCTTCATAACGATCGAGATGAACGTTTTAAATGTATAATATATTAGTCAGCTTATCATGAAGAAAATATGATATATAATTGAATTTTAAAAATAGTTATTATATTTATATATAAATTTTTATCAATAAAAATTAATATATATAAATATAATTATCGATATTCTTTTAAAATCATACATCTATTATATCATTATTTAACTTAAGGGGGATAGGAGATTTTGTCCTGCGGAAAATTAGACCAGAAAATAGAAGATTGCTTCCTTAGAAATCACGAAATCGTAGCAAAACTCGAAATTTTCGGGTCTGCCTTTAATTACGGAAAATTATTATCTCTTAGATAAGTTTTTTAATTACAAATTAATTTCCTATATCTCAAATATGGTAATAACATCTAAACGTGAGAACGTTTATGTTTATTCCTTTCCCTGAAATAAATTCACAAATTTCACGTTCAATTTCAAATTCCTTCCTCAAACAAAATCTATTATATCAGGAGAACTACGAAGTCAATTAAAATATAATCGGAATAGGCGCGAGTAAAAGGATTAGCCTGGTTAGAAGCTCGTAAACAACCACGTGCGTTGAGTAATATAAATTTATACAATAAATGTATTTGTATTGCTCAACGCACGTGGTTGTTTACGTGTTACTAATTACACATTCATTATTTCAATAAATACTGAGAGACAACGTAGAGAAACTTTAGACATACTTTAGGAAAGCTTCTAAAAAATTTGTACAATGTGAATATCTCGGTAAAAGCACATTCTATCTAATCGTTAATACGTGCTCTAGACCATCTTTTGGCCATATTTTGGCCTTCCGTTGCTATGCCGGTGCTGGCTTCCAGCTGCGTTCACGAATTTACTGCGACGAAGGAGTATAAAAATCCGTAAAGGAATCAGTATGCCGTGGCAGGAATTAGGCGGCGTGCAGCCGACGCGAGGCAAAAGGCGCAGGAGGCGTCGGAGGAAAGCTGCCGGTCACCGAGCAGGAAAGAGAGAGGGATAGAAGGAGGTTCGCAGCTGCTGTGACAGCTGCACACTTCCCAGCATTACTCCCCGGACGGTGCGCGTTCGCCGTTCCTATCCTCCGCATGTGCTCGATCCCTCCCATCGTCTTGCCAGGTGCTCCTCGTATCGCCGGTGCGCTTCGACAAGGCACACCTTTGTATGTATCCTGCGCCTGGTATCCTGGAATACGGGACGAGAATCCTCCCGACGAAAATCCCTACTTCAAAAGAGAAAACTCTCCGATCGTGTCGCGATCGTGTGCTGCAGATTGCTCGTGCACGTTCACGTTACACCTGCGGCCCACGTGATCGGGGGACAGATGCACGCGGCGTGAAGTATGGACAAGCGCGTGATCGGCGAAACGATTGAATAATGTATGGATATAGACAACTCTACTAAAAAATTAAAATCTAAAAATGCTACCTTTATTTTAAATCTTAAGCGGCTCTTAAACTCTAAAGAGAGCATCAATATTACTATTGTATAATTATATTAGGGGATGATGGGGACATTTATGTTTGTATAAGTTATTAATAATATATGTTTTATTGCACTAACAACGTGCCTGGCTCATTGATTATCATTTTAAATGCCTTCGTTTGATTATCATTTTAAATTTAAATCATTTTTATTACTTGAATCTTATACATAGATTCTTAATTTATAATTTTTATATTATACAAATATTATTGATGCGCTCTTTAGGCATTCCAAAACAAATCCTCAATATAGCTTTCAAACAATCAATATATAATTATATAATATAATAGGAGCATTTTAGGTATAAAATAATATCAGCGATTTGTTATTTATATTACTAACTGTTGACTTGAATAGTTCAATTTGATTATATGTATATATGACCACAAAAGGTTGAAGGGATATCGTTATCTCATGACGTTTAGAAGTCTGTTACAGATAGTCATTTATTCTACTAAATAGCTAGTATTATATATGACCCTATAACCCTTCTATGATGTAAAAAACATTTCCTCGATAATGCGATGATTAAATGTTCTGTAGATAATTGATGAATTATAGAAAGATTTTAACTATCCAAAACTTTTATATTATTTACGAATTTTACTATCGCTTTGTTTTATTCTTGCATCTGTCGATTATAATTTTTATATTACAGTACGTATAAAAATTCATTCATAGAGATAAGCATTTCCAGAAAAATATAGGTGTATCAATTACTTATATTTACATCCTTGTACAAAAAGTTCCTTAAATTCGTACGAATATAAAAGAGGTGGTTTAATAAAAAAAAAAGTAAAGACGACTAGATAAATGAAGATGTTAAATGATACAGGAATAATCGCGATACGTAATATTAATCGCGACGCTCCGAAGCGACTCGAGGAGCGACGACGGCGAACGCTCGGCGAGAGAGAGGCGCGTGCACGCCTAGATATTTATTCGACCGCCGAATGGCTTATTCGGCTTTGTGGGTCCACGCCGTCCACGCGAGCCCGGCGGTGATCCTGCACGGGCGAATCGCTTTCGCGATTGTCAGTAGAAGATTTGGAATGGTCGATCGTCGGCCAGGAGAGCCGGGGGGCTTCTCTCCCTCGCCGATCATCGGTGGGGGGAAGGTCGAAGAAGGCCGCAGCTGGGTTAGATCCGGTCCGCGCACAGTTGAATGCACGGTGTGCATACCGGGTACCGGGCGGCAATATAGGTCCGACGATGTCGTTATTCCCCCCCCTTTTCTCTCCTCTCTCACTCTCTCCCCTTCACCTCCGCTCGTTACTCCACAAACCCGCAGTTGGCAACACGTGTGTCCCTCTCTTTCTTTCCTTACCGATCGCGTCGTCGATGTAGAGCTCTTTGTTCCTAAAGGGCCATTTTGATATCAAGACGGAAATCAGACTCTCCTCTCCCCCCTCCCTCTTTCTCTTCTCTAAGGCTTTCTTCGCACGACGATCAGTTTTCTTTATGTCAGGAAATCGCGTAATACCGCGATAATTTCTTGTCATTAATCGGATGGAGGGGATGATATCTTGACAATTATTCTTTGTAATGAAATTATAATGATGAACCGACTTAATTGTCACGAAAACGATCTAAGCAAACTTTTTGGAAAGGCAATCCCTGCAGGTTTGTGCAGGATCGTACCTGTCGGCTGTCCGCCACCTGAGAAGAAGCGAGAGAAGAAGAAAGAGAGAGAGCGCATTCCTGTTTTACATGCATATGCTCCTTCATTCACGACCTGTCTCTCCCCTCCCCTTTCCACTTCCCGACAGTGTTCTTCTCTCGGTTATCATGTTTCCCCCAGTTATCTTCTCTCAAAACAAAAGTCTAGTCTTGTGGAGGCGGATTAGTCTAAAGACCGGTTTCACCGACGTCTTTTAGTCCTATAATCAATCTTTTATTTATATAAATTCCTCTCTCGTCATTTCCGATCCTAATGATAAGATCCTAAACTAACCAGCAAAATCGAGCTAGTTTATTAACGTTGACGAAGTCGTCTACGATTTTTTAAACCATATTGAATTACAATGTACAAAACAGGTAGCCGATTCTTTTCATACGACGATCCGCCGGACGATCGCCCTCGTCATTCATCATTTCGAGTTCCCACAGCTCTTTTCGGAGAGATTTCAGGAAGTTACGGGGGGATAATGACTGCGAGGTAGAACGAGAAACTGGGAAATTACATTCGCATGATCGCAACATGCACCATCCTGCGCGGAGCCAGTCTCCCGGTCGCTCCAACGGCTCTTCTGGCTCGCGACCGATTCCTCTCCCTTCTCCTGCTCCTCTTCCTCCTCCTCCTCCTCCGCCGCCGCTCTTCCTCTTCCTCCTCCACCGTCGGCGGTAACCACCACTACTACTATCGTCCTCGTCGCGTCCCCATCTGGACGCACCATGATGGGGTCCAGAGGAGCCGCAGAGAGCTAGTCGCAACAGCCTGCGTGTCAGTCCATCGGTGAACTCGGTCTTGCGCGTTATCGAGCCGAGGGAAGTGTGTACCATTGCCTTGAGCAGGTTCACGTTTTACCAGGCAGTTTCTCGAGTTTTACTTGGATTCGCGTCAGGTCGGATTGTACAGCACGGGCAGGCAATTTCCTGTCGAGTGTCACGACCGCGACGACACTCGAATCGGCACGAGTCACGAGACTTCTCTCGAGAGGAACGATCGCGAGTAAGAAGTGCGAATTACTCCGGAGTCCGTGGGAAACGCGATTTTAAAATAAGAAACAACAGTAGGGGACAGTCATGTCCCTTATTCGCGTGCCGCAAAACTGAATGGTACCAACGGCGGAGTCCGAGTTATCTCGGTTGCGCGAGTGACGTTATAGTGCCTTTAACTTTGAAGATGGTGCGCGGTCTGTCGCAGTGGACCAAGACCCTGAGCTTCCCGGCGAGGGTGTCACCTCAGAGACCCGCCAAGGAGTCCAAGGTTTTCCACGTAAGCCCCAGTGCTAGCCCCACGTCGCCACCCAGCCCGATCAACGATACCATGGACAAAGCGCCTATAATTACCGATGAGGTTTGACACATTTATTTTTATTTTTTTTTTAATTTTTTTTGTCTTTTTTATTTTTTATTTTAATCACTTGCAAAGTTACAAATGCGATTAACAGAATAACGATGCTTTTTTAATTCGATATAATTAACATATTTCTGTCACACAATCGCTGCAGCACGCTCGGGAAATTATAATAAAAAAGACACACATATGATAATGTGTGTAAACATGTGTATGATGATCGCATATATTTGTTTTCATTTCGTCAGATGGAATTTTGTTTTTCTTTTCTTTCGTTATGATTGTTTTCGTGATGATAATGTAAACTACGCATGAAGAAAGAAAAAGAGAAATCCGTTAGAGATTAAATTACGGTTAAAAGCATCAGCGGAAACGCTGGTTTCCGATATCAACGCCGTTTCCGGCGAGGACACTGACGATGGGAATAAGTTTACGGTGATCACGTCGGGACCGTTGACTCCGAGATGCGCGTTGCGCGAGAATCCCCCGCGCCGGGAGAAACGGTTCTTCTTGACAACCGTCGCGTTTTGATATTGTCGCCAGATGCTGCGCCAACGCGACGACGTCGACGGCGACGGCGACGAGGCTCGGGACTTTTTTTCTTCGCGCCCGTACGATTCGTGGAATTTCATGCGCGTGCGTCCGGTGCCGTCTCACTGGAATAAAATGCCCGGTTGTAAGGCACGACCGGGCGGCGGGCAGCGGAAGCGTGGGAACCGAGCGTAACAGATGGCCTCGACCGCTTCCGAAGTCGTTCGACTTCTCCGCTCCCCGTTCGAGCCGCGGCTCCTTCTCCGCTCCGGACGATATCTCTCCCTCCCGGTCCGACGAACGGCGGTGACGCCAAGTACTCCGGGGTTAAAAGAACCTGAGTATCTCATAATTGACTTGCTCACCGCAATTTCCGGATCCCGGACTCTGAAAGGAATACGTTAAATTAGAGTTAACCGATGTTAGCAAACACACAGCCTTAACAAAGTGAATGGGAACTTCTCTGAGACCTCTCGGAATTTCGCGTAAAAAAAGTTATAACGAACAGTTGAGGATATTAATTTCGCGCGATGCGACAGCCTTTTTTCTCCTCTTTGTCTAAAGAAAACTGAAACGAGATCATTTGTCATTGATTCTCCAGTTATTGAGTCTATCAAATCAAATTCAAAAAGTTATCTCTTCCACAACTAGTTGAAGATAAAATTTCAAATATGTCTGTAGATCTTTACCGGAAAGAATCCCGTTTGAAATTATTTCGTTGAACATTCTAAACGGAGCACTCCATTCTTCTAACTCCATCATGTAGTAGATATGTATGAGCAGAAGATATAATCGCGTTGTATAACGCAGATTAGTGAATTCAATGAGGCTATTAGAAAGTGGAAAGATGTATCTTTACGTCCCCACAGGGAGAAGTTTCTTAAACCGATACACCTGGTGAGGTCAGTCCTCGTTTAGCGTTTTGCGAACGCGCTTACTTCAAGACCAAATAAGAGCGCGCGTATCCGCAATCGTCGCGACCCTTTGTGTTCCCTCCCCCATGTCATCCTCCGCTGCCCGGGAATGCGAGAATGCGAGGATAACGCGGGACGACGGTTACGTTTAGTCCAACGAGCGGCAATTACGGTGCGTTATATTAAAAGCTCTCGGCTTCTCTCTCTCTCTCTCTCTCTCTCCTCCCTCTCTTCCCACAACGACGACGACGACGACGAAGACGCGAACGGCGGCGACCATTCGTATACAATTCCCCGGTCGGTCTACGCCGGAAGTGGCGCGGCTTCTCCTCCTCTTCCTCGCGCATTGTTCCTCGTCGCGCATTCCACGACGATGAACTCCGCCGTTCGAGTGAACGAGAACGTTACGCTCCGCGGCATGGGTGCAGCCCGCTCGCGCGAAGGGGAAGCCGCGCGCTCGCGCGAGAGAACCAGCTCCGTTCGTTTGCGCGCATCTCCTACATCGCGCTCAGACACGCTAAAGCTAAACGTAAACAGTCACGATATTTCGCGACGCCTCTTGCCCCGATATTCTCAATTTACACCATTTTTTGAAACAGTTCTGCCTACAAAGATTCGTCCAAAGATTCCGCGTGCACGCATGGAAGAAATATATCGGAATGTAAGAACTACTCTTTACAGATTTTTTTTTTCGAATCTACTTGAGTTATATAAATAGTATCATCGAGTCTATCTGAAAATCTCTGCCATGTATAAAATATAGAAGGACGAATGCAGGATGTACAAAAAATTGTATTTTTAGAGATAAGAAAAAGAAGATTATTAAAGAAACCGCGAATAAAAAAAAATGCATATGCATGAAGAATACGAGATTATGTAAGATATAGAGGTCCGAAGTATTTATTTTCTGAGAAGAATAAAAACTCGGAATGTGTGTCATGAATTATATAATATTCGCGTTTACACCACATTACACTCTTTTTATCTATCGATGCTTCATTCATGTATATATTTCGAAGCTTAATAGGATCAAATTTATTAGCGATCAACGATCTGCAAAGTAACGGTCAATCAATAATGAAGCTGCCGTGCGCGCTGCTAGGAACGCGAAGAAATTAAGAAGGCGGTTTTTCGCATCGTAATTACCGCGCTTACTTCGAACAACTAAAGCGATCCATTTTTATCACCTCTCTACGGTACTGTTCATTTGAGGCGATTCGACCGTTTTTGGGAACGAGGAGGCGGTGAGATCAACGCACGTCGCGTCGTATGTTAATTTTTGGCCATTCGCCAAGGTCGCCCCGAAAAGAGACGGCCGTTCGAATGGAGCGCGAGTTCGCAACGGCCGATTCGTGGGAATATCCTCATGTCGCCAAGGAGAACGTAAGGTATAATTTTTTTAACCGTTTACATCATCGAGTACGTCAACGGGCCACATCAGAAGAGGCACTTCGGTAAACAGCCTGAGAATGCTGCCGATCAAAATAATATGAGCATTTATAATCGAATTTTTAATTTCTTTAATCGTTAAAATAATACAACGCGAAATAATAAATATAATTATGATTGCGCAACGTGAAGAGACAGTAATGAAATAATCGTGATTCGTGAATATTACATCGAGATTCGCGCTCGTTGTTACAACACGGATCTGGATCTGGATCGCATCAGATTCGTCGAGGTCAGAAAAAATCAAAGGAAAAAGTCACGCTGGCATAAATTACGCTTACGAGATCGATCGATTTATGAAGGCAATGACATTGAATATTGAACATTGAACATTGAACATATTCGACGCTGCAAGGTACGTAGAATAAGTGGAACATGCGAAGATCGATTTTCCGTTACTTTACTATATAACGTCATGCTTACATGCCGCGGTGCGGACGGTAATATTCTAATATCGGGGACCTAATATGACGCGAGAAAAGAGCTCCGAAGAGGGAACAATGGACGACTTAGTAGAGCAGAAACACTTCCAGAGTTTTATATTTATTATTAATAACTCTATCTCCTTTTTTTTTAATATGCTTCTCGGCCTCTAATACGATTTTATGTTCTTCACGCTGTAACGCATTCGATGATGCATCCCGTGATTTATTCTTCGCTTCGATTCATTTCGAGCGTGTGACAAGACAGCTCCGGTTCTCCGATCTCTTTCATGCGTGTCTCCGTTTCTTCTTTTTTTCCAAAGCGTTCCAATTTTGAAGCGTTCGGTACATAAAGTAATTCGAGAGCGATCCCGAAAGGGAGAAAGGTGTAGGTTCGTCCCTTTCATTTCTTTTCTGTTTATATATCGCACCGCTAACGGCTGGGCTGGTTGCGTTAGGTTCCTCGACCTTGCCGGTCGTGCAGGTTTCAACTTGCGAGCACCTCCGAGCGTGCTCGCGCACGCATTTATACGCCGGATGCATTTGTATACGAATGGTATAAAGGTTGATCGCATCACACGACTCCTTTCCCTGAACCGGCGCGGCACGCTTTCCAAGAAAACAATTTCGGCAAATAGACTCGATAGAAACAGGAGAGGAAAGAGGGGAAAAGAGAGAGAGAGAAAGAAATAAAAAATTGTTGAAGTTCCTATAAATCACGTACACACATATGAATGTTTTATTAATTGTCTATCAATCCAATATAACTGCAATATTTTTGATAATCCTAAATCCTCTACATATTTTTCTAAACATTGAAAAATGAATAAATTCCAAACAACGATTGTGTTAAATTACAGTCGTAAACTATAAATTTCCAAATTTTCACCTATTACTTCGACTGATGGAAATTATTATATTTATCTGATAATATTAGAAATAAAATATATTTTACTATTTGTCGAAATAAGTTTAAAACGGGATTGTGTACATCGCGTAGTGCAACCGCTCGAGGAACATGACAATGGATTTAAAATATTTCTGGCTTGCACCACCCACGTGGTTCTCTGCACGAGGCGGCATCTCCCACGGCGTTGCACCTCGTGTTGTCACTTTGCTATTCTGAAAAGTAGCCCAACCAGTGGCGTCTTCGAAAATAATTTACCGATTATTACAGATCAAACGTGAAATGCAATTTAAACAAATTGCACGGTTTAAAGAATATCCGGTTTGAAACTCGATTAGAATCTTTAAATCACTGATAAATTGAAATAATTGATGTTAATTTATGACAATGCGATGAAAATTTATATAAATACATCATTGTGCGTTATGCTCTTTTATCGAATGAAGAGAAGAACTTGAAACTCTTTGTGAGTTTTAACATATTTTAAGAATAAAAATTAAAATATCATTGCAAGTACCTATTTCATGGAAAAAGATCCGTTACCCCTGAAATAAGGTAACGGAACTTCGCAAAAAGATTCTCTGAGAATACTATGGATTTTTTGATTCATTAATAATCCGGACGTTTACATTTCGGATTACGGTATACGCGCACCGATAGTTTTTATACGTTTCATGTTTCGAAAAAACGGCGGACAGACGAAGGCAAATAACATCTCTTTCGTCCCGGTCTTTTCCAGAACTTCCAAGACACGGAGGCAGAAAAGGCAATAATGGGCTCCATCGTATACTGCATACATCACAAGGACGGTTGCAAATGGTCGGACGAGCTGAGGAAGTTGAAGGTAAAGTCATCAGTAATGCTCGGTATTACAGAAATGGGAATAGGAGGTCTCGACGGATCCCGACTAAATTTAGATTTCGCTCTTATCACACAGGCGCACCTGAACACGTGTAAACACGATGCGATTCCATGCGGCAATAAATGCGGGGCGATGATACCTCGCGTATTAATGGAGGATCACCTGAAGTATACCTGCGCTCAGCGTAGAGCACGTTGCGACTTTTGTGCCAAAGAATTCACCGGACACACTTTAGAGGTACAACAGCGATTCCGACACGCCCGAGAATTAATGGGACTTTAAGCATGCAACTGTCAACGAAAATAATTTTCTCGTCGCCTCTTTCTTTTTTTTTTCCTTAATTACCTTTGCATAAAATAGTGGATTCGTTAACGAAATCTGCGCTTTTCTTTCCCGAGAATGTGAGAATAAATGAGAATGAATAATCATGACAAAGGAATTAATTTCGATCGATCGATTCATTAAGCTATATAATTTCAAATATTCGTAACTTTGGGAAATTAATTCAATTAAATAAAACGTTCTTTTTTTTTAATTTGTCACTTTTATCGGAGATTCCTTCAAGAATTATATTGATTCCATGCAGAAAGTAATTGTAAAAATGCGATGTTTGCAGAAACACACGGGAACATGCGGTTACGAGCCTCTTTATTGCGAAAACAAGTGTGGCATGAAGGTGCAAAGGCGACACCTCGGTCAACACAAGCTGGGAGAGTGCGCCAAGAGGCTAGTCGCCTGTCGTTACTGTAGCAAGGAATTCGTTTTCGATACACTCGGCGCTCACCACGCGAAATGCGGTCGATTCCCGGTAGCGTGTCCTCATCGTTGCGAAACCGCGGTGCTGCCCCGGGAGGATCTCGAGGTTCACCTGAAGGATCATTGCACCACGCATCTACTTTCCTGTACATTCAAGGACGCCGGTTGCCGCTTCAAGGTACTATTTTTTCGCACGTTATAGCTCATATCCGCTTATATAAAAGGTAAATAAATTAAAAAGCATTGAAAACAGGTTTATTTCTGCGAAATAGAACACCCGATGTTCGAAATAAAAGATCGATTTACGAAGATTTCAATCTCTTTCTTCTTTTATTTATTTATATATCTAATATTCTAACATCACTACTAAGTATAATTAAATATTTAATAACATCTCTATGAAATAAAAAATATATTTTTTTACATACTTTAAATTTCTAGGAAATTTATAGTATAAGTTTTAATTTTTTTTCTTTTCTGGAAAATCTGCGATTCTCTCTTCCGAGAATGAGAACAAGTGAATAAATAATCATGAAAAAGAAATTAATTGATTTGAATAAAGCTGTAATTTCAAATATTCGTAATTTCGGAAATTTTATTCTAATTAATTATAATTTGTAATTCGCTTATTTATTTAAATGAAAAGCCTATCCCTTCTCCACCTATTATTTTCACTAAGCTTATAATTCAAAAAAACGTTACACCACGATCTTTTTGTAACAGGGAAATAGGTTCTCGCTGGACAAACATTTGGAGGAATCCTCAAAGATGCATTTAAGTCTCATGTGCAGTCTGGTGACGAAGCAGCAACATCAAATAACCAGCTTAAAGTCGGCGATTAGCAAACTATCGTTAAATTACACGGGCACGCTCATATGGAAGATCACGGATTACGCCGCCAAGATGTCGGAAGCGAAAGCAAAGGAGGGAATGGAGCTTGTCAGCCCACCTTTTTATACTAGTCAATACGGATACAAGTTACAGGTGAGCATCGAATATTATACGTATAAATCATACGGTCGAAATTAGTTGCAACTTTTAAATAACTCGAGCATTAGTTCGCTGGATGAAAGATTTTTTGATTTATTTTACAGGCTTCCATTTTCTTAAACGGAAACGGAACCGGAGAGGGCAGTCACATCTCGATATACATAAAGATCCTACCTGGCGAGTACGATGCGCTTCTGCGATGGCCGTTCTCGCACAGCGTGTCGTTCACGATGTTCGATCAGACAGTCATCGCGGAAAAGGCCTGCAACATCGTGGAGAGCTTCATACCGGACCCGACCTGGAAGAACTTTCAGCGACCGAGTCGCGAACCGGACTCACTCGGCTTCGGCTTCCCACGATTCGTTTCCCACGAGATGGTGAAGAAACGACACTTCGTCAAAGACGACACCATGTTCATTCGAGTTAAAGTGGATCCTAGTAAAATCGTAGCGGTTTAAGGGAAACGCATTTAACGATTTTGAAGAAACGCATTGGTGTTTCTGGAAACGGACATTATGTGATATTTCCGAGTACTCGCTTGAGCGGAGCACATACGGTACTTATGTCGTTTTTAAATAATGCACGGTTAGTTCAAATTTTTAAACCGACTGAAAACGCAAACTATATCGCCGCCCGATTTGCGTCTTGACAGTTTTCATTTATTAGCTCGTGTTATTGCAAATATTGCTGATAATTGTAACAATAATTAATTTATTAACACTGCCAAATGCGTAACGCGCCAGGATGTATTTAACTTTTCTAATTGCCTAATTTTTCGTGTCTCTTTTATCTCTTCAAGAGATTCTATGGGATTTTATTATCGTCTAATTGTCTTTTGTGACAAAAGCACGGAAAAACTTAATATTTATTACTTGTTACGAAATATTTTGAATATTTTCGTCTGTCTAATAACACCTGCACAAAATTATATATTGTATATTTTTTGAAAACTTAACAAATAGACGAGGATGCCTCGATTTTTCTAACGAGTGGCCTTACGATCGCGCAATTACTTTTAAGGAGAAAAAAATCAAAGATTGTTAAGGGACTGAGTGTGTACTATAAACTTAATGAATGTAAATAAAAATGCGGAATGCCATATGTTAATGGACAACGAATGAGAGCAATCGAGACAGAATCACCGATGTAAATACGCACTTATCATGTATAGTGATAATGAGAAAATGTGATCGAGATATACTAGTGAATGTATGTAACAATATGAAAGTAAGCTGGCTTATAAAAAAGCGTTATATAATATTCACATATAAAATATACCGTGTACTTTATTCCCTGTTATTTATACTACATGACCTCCAATATGATTCAAATACTAGACAATCAAACTGTAAAAATTATAAAAATATTCACACATCTCTATTGACTATATCACACAAGCATTAACATAACAACTAGATATTACTTTTCTTACAAACTTCCGCTGCTTTGCTGGGAATTTACTTCTCCTGTATTTGCCTGTAAAGAAACAATTAGATCATACATAAAGTAATTGTTGCAACACGATAAAAATTATGGCAATAATATATAAAAATCAAATTGACAAAGTTTTTGCATGTAGGAAAAATAGTATACTATACTTACAGATTGTATCCGCAACATTTGATCTAACGCATGTGGCAGCAGCGGTCGTATACTATTAATTTCCATTGCAGTGAGATGATCCAATCTCGCATGCACCCCCTCGCTCTTCACAAAAGCGTCCACGGATGTGCGCAATTTAGACATTCTTATATCCCATATGTCCTACGATACAAACACTTACATGTAAGTTTTGTATCAGTGTATCATTTGCATTATATATATATAAATATCCAGTTGATTCTACCTACCTTCACGGCGATCCTTATTCCATCCGCGTCAGGAATATCGTCGTTCGCCACGTTTAGCAAAATTTGACTCTCGTCCATGTAATGACAGCTCGGCATCTCCGTAAATAACCTGGTGCAATGAAATTTTCATGAATAGACGTTTCTAAATCAAATTACTATGAAATTTAATTGAATATCGAAATGATGAGATAAAATTAACAGAAAAATGAGTTTGTTGTCATTTCAGACAACAAGTATAAGTAATGGGAAGCTTCAGCGGAGGGGACTCACTTGGACATCTTCTCCATCTCCTTCCTCTCGTTCAGACCCTCGATGTCCATCCACTCTTGGCTGACAATACGGCACTTCTGCTTCTGCTTCAGGCACACGGCGAGCCAGATCGGCACCTTCACGGGCAGACCGGCGCGAAACGGCCCCACCGAACCCGAGATCAGGTAGATCACGTCGGAGTTGAAGTTCGGCACTATGCTGACCAGCTCCTTCTCGCCGAGAAACTCGACCTCGCTCGGATCCATGCTTCGTACCTTCCAAGCGTCAAATCGACCGTTTTTCGATACCCGCGTGTCTAAAGCCGAATCTCGACACTACTCGACACATCCCGGCGCTGCCCGACGCGATTCTGACTTGACTAGGCTTGACGCAGCGGCCGGCAACGTGCTCCGCGACGCGATGAATCGAAAAAGGCGGGAACGCGCGGCACAGCTGACGCGCGGCACAGCTGACAGCGCGTCACCTTGACTGTCGCCATATTTTCCCGCCACTTGTTGCGTTTCGAATTGTTAAGCGCGCCGCGGCACTTTAATCGCTTACGCGATAAAAACTTTATCGTACAGCATCGACTCTATTCTTTGTGGCCGCATTATATTACACTATTATTATGCAAGTCCCGAGAAGCATTCACGGGATTTGCGTTAATGACAAAACACTATTTAGCTGTATAGTTACAAAGATAGCTTTACGGAAAACATTAATTTTAATTTAACGGAATTAAACGGAGCACTACAAAGCCCTTTATTACGCGCAAATACTTGAAAATTATGGGCCGTAAGTCGAATGTAAAGAAAGAAAAACGAAAGCGAAAATTCTAATTTCTAAAAATTGGAAAAACACATAAAAATATAAAGTCCAAATGTCTACAATGCTCGAAATCAGTCCGAGATCTCGGACAGAGAGAGAATTAATAGCCAATCGCATTTGAACAATTTGTTCACAATCATACTGCAATATGATGTCTCGTATGCATTAAATTGTAGACTGTAAAGAAATTAACAAAAGTATATCCCGATGAAAAAAATCCTATATTTTATATTTTAAATTTATCCAGATTTCTGAAAAAATATCTTAGATCTTAAAAAAATATCTTTTTCAAATTTTGTAAGGAAATTATAGAATGAGAACTCGTAGAATATTTCAAAATTCACATATATAAAGAATTCTAAAAGTATAAAAGATATAGATTTTCTCAGCATTTCCGAAGTGTTTTAATTTGTACAAAAAAATCTAAGATATTTTCTAAAAATTGTAAAATTATATAAAAATTCTAAAAAATTATATAAAGAAATTTACAGAAAAATTTTCGTCAGGGTATTTTATAAGATTTTAAGTGACAATGAATTAAGCATCAAATGCACATCTGAATTACACGCGCGAAGCTTTTAATGACATTGATTTTGTTCGCTCGCATTGCGATACACAGGGTGCTTATTATACGCTTATAGAAATTCGCATGCGTTATTATTACACACGTATCCTTTTCGGCTGATTTTATTCTCTTATAAAAGAATCGTCACGATGAGGTTTCAAGATTTCAGAATCTGGAGTTCTCAATAAAAAAATACTTAAAATTTGGTGGGATCTATAAAATTCTTGTTTAATCAAAAATAGCACAATAATGATTTTTCTAAATCTTTAATATAGTCGACGCTAAAATAAATAGGTAGAAAGGGCTAAAAAAAGAGAGAGGAGAGACGTGAATATTAAAATGGTCAAACTTATCAACATCCATTCGCATTTGTTAATTTAACATCTCACGATTTTAATTAACAATTAATAAACTTGTAGTGTACTCCGTATTTCGAGGAGAGAGAAAAATGTGCATTTATATATATTTATAGCGTTTGACAGAGCTAGGAAAGATTAAACGAAAATTCCTTGCTGAGAATTTTGATGTCCACTAAAAATTCAATTGAACGTCTTATTTTTTTTAAAGGCTTGCGTCAGATATTTTGGTAAACAACGTCCGCAATTTTGGAGTTCGATTAAAATTAATCAATTATTGCAATTTCGTTATCTATCAATTATCATCTTCGGAGAGCAGTTCATCAAATTTTGTTAAATTTAATAACGGGCACGGTTGATAATTATTTGTATCGCGATATGTTTGTTGATTAAAGTAGCAATCAGTTTAGTAACTTTGAAAAAGATTATAAGCGATATACGTATGTGTCGAACGCGCATACAATACAGCAAATATTACGTGTAAAGAGTATGAGAGGAAAGGGGAGAAATGGAGCGCGACGATATAGTCTATTATATTATGTCAATTGTGTGATATGCAGAGTATTTGCACAAGCATCGTGCAAATGTTCTACGGAAACACGTGTGGACACACAATCGCGACATGCACTGTTCTACTGTACAACATTAAGTATATATTGTCCCCTCGGTATATATTTATCAATTTATCACTCTGGTCGATCCTGCACGAGTCTCGCGCACGATACCGCATTATCCTCGCCAGGCGTTCGAGAACACGTTCTTTCTCTTCGGATGTCTCTCGGATGGGGATTTTTGCAATATCTGTTCTACTTTATTTTTCTAGTTTATATTTACAATACGTGATAAAAAAAGGAAGTCAGACGTACCACGCTCCGTTCGTCTTGTCTTTTTCGAAGCTTCAAATGTGTGTATGTGTGTGCGCAGTATAATATCACTTTGTCGCTCCATTTCAATGTTCAACTCATTACAAAACTTACGCTAAAACACGTGTGACGTGAGCTAGATGGCACGCTCGACGAGAGTAACTAATAGTAAAAGATCGGCACATCGAGAGATTTTTAAGGAAAAAAAATGCAAATTTTCGCTCATTAGTCCCAGTTTTTTTTCTTCTTCACAATTACTCCCATTAACCGCCCTCTACGTCGATTCTGTCTCGAGATTCTTCCAAAACCAGGAGATGTTCGGGAGAGGCGTGATTCATCAGATTCACATCGGCCTCGATCACGAAGATCGACGCGGGCGGTGTTTCTTCGACGTGGTCCTCCTCCGCGGGCAGGAGCGGCGCCAGCGACTTGTACGTTTGCAGCTCCATCGAGCAGGAGATTTCACGGTCGTTCGCGTCATCGTTGCAGTCGACGAGGTCGCCGTCGCTGGCCAATTCCTCCTCGCTCATCCGTTTGTTCGCCGGCGCGGAGTTGCTGATTAGAACCGCACCTCCGACCGCGGTGCCGGCGTCCGCAATCTTCTGGTGCGTTTCCTTCTCCCGGATCGACGGGACGCGCCTCTCGGCGTACGCGCCGTCCATCCTTCTGCTTCCGTCGATCACCTATGTGACACGGCCAATTGTGAACGTCTTAGATCGCGAATAAGACGAAAATACAGGTCGAATCGAGTGAAGTGAAAGGGTTACGCGCAGTAGAGTCACTTAATAATTTAAGTAGTCTTGATTATATATTTCCGCTATTAATATAATAATCTTAATCTTCATCTATCTTGGCTAATCTGATTCCGACATACACCGCCAGTACTGAAAATCTATAGTATAGTATGTAACGCGAACTATAGATTTTCAGTATTGACAGAGCGTATATCTAAACACAGCCAAGAATGAAAAAAGTGTGAATGTTAAATGTAACAGAGTAGGTGTAAAAATTATTTAAAAGTAAAAGGTAGTGTAAGATAAAATGGAAATGTGGGGACATAAGATAAGTTAGGAAAAGAGTACCGAGTCCCTTCTTTGCCCAACAGTAAACTAAACTGTAAACTGTTAGAACGGATGAAGACTCAGAAATTGCAAAAGTAAGAAAAATTTTGAAAATATTGAAGCTGGAATGAAAGTACAAAAAATGTGAACTCATAGGATAAAAATAAGTACTAAAAGAGTTGAAAGATAAAGAGGTAGATAAAAAAATGATTAGGAGGAGAAAAGATTGTGTAAAATAAATAGGATAATGCATATGCAATGGATATAATAACAGAAAAATAGGATATATATATATTATTTTTATATTAAAATTTTTCTTATATTCTGTATATAAGAAAAAATTTGGAAAGACTAAAAATAGAATGAGAATACTGCAAGGTAAGCAAAAATATAAGATAAATGATGTAGATTTTTAAAGGTCAAAAGTATAAAAGTAAAAGGAATTGATGGATGTGTGTGTGGATAAGAAAAAAAATGTAAATCAAGGTTTGATGATATGCTAGAAGAATAGAATAAAGATTCTTCTTCTATAAAGATGAAATCTAGACTAAAAAGAAGAATAAAAATAACAGATAGAATAGGAATAATTTCCTAAAAAGTAGCGAGTTTATTCCCCCGTCCGTTTTATTTAATTATTCTCAAATTAGAAGTAGAGAGGTTTAATCTCTCACTTAATAAATAAAGTACGCTGGAAAACAAATTTCTCCTGTATTACATATATGTCTCGTATTCAATTATTAAATGTACAGATCGACTTTTAAAAAGAATAAATACCAACGCACCTGTCGGAGCAAGCTCGGCCTCTGACTTCTCGGCTGATCGAAGCCGCTGAATCGCCTCTGAAGCTGCCTCTGCGAACCGACGAGGGAACCGCGATCATGGATCACGCTGATCACGCTGGACTTGACGTCGCTGTGCGGGAAGAGCAGCCGCCAGACGAAGTTCTTGAGGGCGATGCGAAAGTCCTTGAGGTGGTAGGCGTAGAGGAGTGGATTGCCCACCGAGTTGAGGTGCGAAAGGATAATGCAGAACTTCATGAAGAAGTCGTTCACCTCGCATTGCGGGCAGAACGCCATCACGCAGTTTATCGTGTACAGAGGAAACCAGCAGACGATGAAAAAGACGACGATGCGAGAAAGATTCTGCGTCGCCTTGACCTCTCGTTTCCGCGCAGCGCCAAGACAACGCAGCATCGTACCTGTCGTGTGATGGGAACGCTCCAACTGACCGGAGCGCAGCCCGAGCCGCATGATGCCGACGCGAAGGGAACCGCCGCCCTTCCGGGGTGGGTCGCCGGGGTCCATCGTGACGATTTGCTGTAGCTGTAACCGTCGTACCCGTTACACTCTTTGGCTATTTCCCGTTATTTTCTCTCCTCGCGCCTCTCGGTGCCGCGCTATGTTCCGGTACCACCGAATTTCCGGAGAGTCTCTCTCTCTCTCTCTCCCTCTCTTTCATGCGACTAACCTGTTTCACGATTACCCGGTATATATGGGCGTAGAAAGCCGCGATCAGCAGGGCCGGGAAGATGATCGTGGCGAAGTACAGGAACACGAGGTAGTCGTAGTCCATGACGTTGGTGAAGATGCACCTATGGTCGTCCTTCTCGCCGGCGTTCCATCCGAAAAGCGGCAGGAAGCCCACCAGAGTGCCCGCTACCCAGCACACGCATATTATACCTGAGAAAAAAAACCCCCGATCGTCTCTTCCGTTCAATATCATCTCTCCTTCGACCCGCCGTCGATCACTTCGCCGTCAATGGGCCGCCGATGCCGTCGTCGCGTCGTCGCGACGACTATATATTTGCGTATACGCTCAGTTGATTCGAATAATAACTCGTTCGCGCGCATCCGTTCATTACGCATCGGTCATTCATTCGCGATTAGCACAGGCTTCTCCTCGGCTGCCACATTGACGAGGCAATTTTTATTATACATACTCACGAATATACGGACGAACTTATACACGGTTTCTTATCGATTCGCTCGTTATTTGTAGCGAAAAGCGATACTTCCCCCGGGAAATGCGCGTTATCGGATGCAACATGCAAGAACTGACATTTGAAATACTTTGAAGACTATATGTTTATTTTAATCAATTTTGTATGTATACTTATCGCTTATCTTAAACAACAGACATTCAAAAAGAACACGTCACGTCGACGAATATTGTATCATTGGATTCCGTGAGCCAAAAGATAGATCTTTTATCACTGGATTGGATCTCTTTTGATCTTTTAAATTAAGGAGTGTGTAAGAACTCAAAATCACCCATTTCTAGTCTTGAAACAGAGTTACATGTTGTTGATTTCTTCCTTTCAGATCATTTCGGAGCGTGTCTTCTTTCGAACTATTGCGAATCAAATTCGACTATCGGCTATTCCGCGAGAGCTCCCCGTTCGTGCGCGATACAGAGACCTCGAGAATGGGGACGGTTGGGAAAAAAAAAACACGTGAGGATTTTACGATTATCTTGAGGAGCACGCGATGCAATTTCACAATTGTTTTGCATGTCCGCGCTAATTGGCGTATATGCGTTCACGCTTAATAAAACGCGGCGCGACGTCATACGACGCGACTTAAGACGCGAACGTGGTTGTACGGCGATCGTGGATTACCTACGCGACAATGCTGTGTAATTATATTGGCTCGGCTGTCTTATCTGTGTGCTCACGTACGAGCACGTGCCGGAAATTGGGACTACAATATTGCGCACGACCCACTGGTGCTCTCTTGTCCCTTTCGTTAACGTCGTCAGCCAATAGTTAGTCAACGCACCTAAAGACCTGCGAGCTTTCTTTGTGACCGGCCCTTGACTAAACAAGTCCGTAATTGCAGCTAAGTGCCACATGTGTGTGTCTAACTCGTAATTTCTATTACTTAAATGATGGCTCGGAGAGCCACATATACTTGTCTTTCATTGCGTCAATAAGGTACTAGAAATTATATCCGAGTATCTATGCGACACCTAGAATTGATTGCATCAACGCTTGAAAGTAATCTCAACTAAAGAAACTTCCCCTCTTCATATATACATACACACACATACACACATATATATATATATATATATATATATATCATAGGCGCAACTTATACACTCTGTATAACAAGTACCAAATTGCCAGAGCTACGATTTACTCAATTCGAATTATTGGCAATCTCAATTACGCTCGTATACAGGCTTGTTTAGCAAGAAACAGCATTGAAAGAAAAAAAAAATATTGCAAGAGATCAATTCACCTAACTGCGTAATCGTTACGCGGCGATCGTGTTTTTGCCGCTGAGTCCCTTGCGGGAGTGGCGATCTTACATCATCCTGGATCGACCTCATCGACCGTCATTAATCTCGCGATACGAGCGCCCGATACCTATCAGGTATCAAATTAACGACATCGGCTAAGGCCGGCTAAGCGCGACGACGACGCGACGACGATTGGCGGCGATTCGAAGGATGATGTGCCTCTCACCTATGGCAGTTTTGGTGCGTACGGTGCGCGAGTATCCCATGGGATGCAGTATCGCCCAGTAACGATCGACGGACACCGCCACCAGGCAGAAGATGCTGATGGTGCAGAGGACGACGAGGACCGAGACGGTGAACAGGCAGGCGTGCAGATTCGTCGGCAGGCCGATGCTCGCGAGGATCGCGAACGGGATCGCGAACAGCCCGACCAGCAGGTCGGCCGTCGCCAGCGAGACGATGTAGTAGTTGGTGCGTCTGCGTAGCTTCCGCTCCTTGCCGAAGACGATGATCACCAGGCCGTTGCCGAACACGGCGCAGACCGCGACCAGGATCTCGCAGACGGTGTACGGTAGATTCAGTTCAGCGCCCACGGACGACGCGTTCGTCGGCCCGGTGTGGGCCGCCAAGTAATCGAACGGCGAATCGGTCGCGTTCGACGGGAATCCCATCGCGACGATCATCGGGGGGGTATGATCACACCCGCGGTCGGGGGGTTCTTAACGGTGACGCCGTCGGGGATGATGCGGGACGATTGCACGGCGCGCGATCCACGTCGCGATCCCCTCGCGATCACGCCGGGGCATGGCGCTACACCGGCGGCACGGAGCAATCGATCGGAGCAATCGTGACGTCGCGGCACTTCCCGGCCGTACGAGCGGCACTCATTGCTTTTCTTCAAGGAAGCCCGATATCTCTTAAATCCTCAGCGATTATTAATATCCCGCGATATAATTTTCGCGCGCGGCGAGTACCAGACGGGAAACGTATACACGAGTCGGGAGGCGCGTTGACGCGTTTGGCGCACGTGCGCGCCGAAAGAGAAATTGACTGTGAGAAACTTCGTTAGATAAATTTCCACTTCTTCCGCTTCTATTTTTATTACGTTCTATTCTCGCTCGCGTCGGGCATGAAATCAGTCCAACGGAGATCTCGCGCGCGCGAGATATTAGAAACCGAAGATCAACTCAGTTTGTCACCCGCGTCTCTCCGAGTTTTGTTCCTCAACTATAATTATCCGGCCCTTTCGATTGAGAAATATATCTCAGTTCCTCTCTTCGTTTCTATACGGATCACCATCGAGAACTCGCGGAAAAAGATCGTGATATTCCACATTTCAAAGTTTCGTGCATGAAACTTACATGACGTGTCTCCGTCCGTCCACGTCCGGCTCGCACTTCGTCTCCTCTTCTTCCCCGAATCAGTCCCGATCCTTCCGCGACTCCCTACAATTTTTTTCCTTTTTGCGACTGCGTTTCTTCCCGAATCGATGTTTTTTTCTTGTGCGCGCACGACTTCGCTTCCCGAAGTCGAAAGGACGAACGAAGGAATATAGCGATCGATCGACCGGTCGCTCACTCGTCGCGTGATACGTTATAACGGCCACCGCGTTACCCGTCCATCACTCGTATACGAGGTCTGAATTACGCGAGCGCGCGTAAGATGATTTCCGCACGATATCATCTAATGGACCTTACGTGTCACGCGAGTTTCGCGTCGTCGCAAAACGAGGTGAGGAAGCGACCGACTTTGTCTCGCGCGCTCTTGCGTTCGCGTGCCTTCACATTCGCGCTATCGCGCGCGTTATCCTCGCCGTATAGCCGATATCGAGCGATTCATCAGTTTCTAATAGCCCGGAGCCGCGGGCGAACGAAGGAACACCCACGACGCTGTTCACCATCGATCGCACGACTCGCGATATACGATCGGAGAGAACTGAATCCAACCGCTTGCCGATTTCGATGCGTGATCGCGCGGCCCGGTATATAATTAATTAACAAATCGCCGATTCCGCGCGTCGTTATACGCGTACCGTTCTTCTCTCCGCGTCATCCGCGTGCGTGCGTCATCGCGCGAAAGGGCGGGAAAAGTCGCGCGGTGGATCCCGCGAGCCCGCTTCGACGACCGGAAAGGAGAGAGAGAGAGAGAGAAAGAACGATCGACGGCGGATCGATCGACCGGCCCCGCGGCGTCGCACCGGCAAATATTTATTTCTCCGATTAATTAGCCCCCAGAGGTAGAGAGAGAGAAAAAGAGAGAGAGAGTGTGTGGGCGTGAAACGACGTGTGCGCGAAACAGGGGGGGCTTCTCTCTCCTCCGCGGCGCGACGCGGTGCACGTCGAGGGGGACGACGCTGAGGCCCGGAGCATGGAGCGAACGCGTCCGCCTTCTCAACCCCGTGGCGTGTAACTGCGAGGTTACTCCCCGTTGACAGTAGGGCACACCACGGAGGTGGAGGTGGTATCTCTCCGGTCCCGCCGCCCGGCTTCGCGGCTCTTCCTTTCCGTCTCGGAAAGTCGGCGGACCGAGGCCGAAGCCGAAAGGGCCGCTGGAGCTCGCCGGTCCCGCCGCACCGCGCTCGATTCGACCGCGCGCCCGCGGCGTACTTATATCGACGTGACGACGCGGCTGCACGGGTGGCGGCGGGACTCGTGACAGGGACGCGGCGTGGATGGATGCGGCGAACGCGCCTCGCATTTACGTCGTGCAAGCGCGATGCATCGCGCACGGTTGCTTTCACGTGCTCGGCGTGCTTGACCTCGAGGGGGGAGGGGGGGGACCGCTGCTTCGCGCGACCGTCAATATCGCGCAAAAGCTTATCGCGTTCGCGGCGACGGCGGACGTGTATTCGTGTCACGTGCGCCTATTCGCTCTTCCGCGCGCACTTCCCTCCTCGTTCATCGCCTCGTTCGACGCGCGTCTAATTGTTTTCGCTTGTAAATGTAACCGAGCGTAAAAGAGTGACGGACGGACCCGTCGCGTCGCGGCGATTCAAATCCCTGCAGCTACGAACTCCGCCGTTCGTACGCCGTTCACGATCCTGCGAATATTGACTGCGCGAATATTAACGTACACATGCGGACACGTTTGTGGCGCGCACTGAATTTAACGCGGTCCAATCCCCGCGTCTTTCGTTGCCTTAATACGGGCGGTTGCGTTTGGTGCCGAATAACGTAATGTAATACGAAATTCAGGGAGCCACATCCGATGTTAAACGCGCGCGGCCGGCAACGTGGCAGCGAAGAGTGGGGCGCAATCAGACATCCGTTCATTTACATAGTTATATCTTGGAGCGTTATGCAGCGGGAAAAACGCGGACCACCGCATCGATAGTGGTCCCCCCTAATGGGGGGGGAGGGGCGGGGGGAGGGGTACAATCAGCACAATGTAGCTTGCGAAACTCTATAATCTAACGCGGGCTATTATTCTCGCGTATACGGCCGCGCGACCGCGGGTTCGTGCAGAAGCGCGATGCAAACACAACAGTTAACAACAAGGAAAATTAATGGACGGGAAGTTTAAAAGAAGACGAGGCACTTGGGAAAAAATCAACATTTGTCTGATTGTGCTTCAGTCTTCCCTATGACACATGCCATCTCTCAAGACGTTTGAATTGTAGCCGTTGAATTGTATCTCTTAAATGCCGCATGGCATTCTTTGATATACATATACATATTAATTGTTAAAAAAATTGAAATTAAAACAAGAAACTACATTTTCTGATTCGCGAAAACATTTAGGTAGTTCATATTGTTCGTTTTTGTTCGCGATTTTTTAGATGCGATTTGAATCTTCGAACGATCGACATAAAACAAGGCATCATCTCAAGATGTTTGACTTGCAACACTGTCTCTTAATGTGTTGCGTGGTATTCTATTCAGAATATAATATTATTAATTATTAAAAAAAATAACAATTAAAAATTATGTATTTTTTGGTTGCCAAAAATAATATAGAGACGCATTAGTTCGTTTTTTCGATATTTTTGAGCGATCAATAATATTAAATGCGTAAAGTAAGACATCGTAACTGAATCGTTGTTATCGTAATCGTTATCGTCAGTTTTTTTTAAATAGAATCTACGTATATTAAATGCCAAGGTCATGCTCATGTAAAAGTTAAAAACGTGGGTAATACAAATGACCGTAATTATATTAGATATAGTTATTATGGGCGTACCCAGGATTTCAGCGAGAGAGAGGGGAGGGCAAAAATTTATTTTCACACAAAACTTATTAAATTCTCTCATATTAAAACCGGTTTTCAAGGATTTTCAGCTTTTTTTAATGTTTTTTCTTCCAGCTTCTTTCTTTTCGTAAATTATGAAAAAAATAATTTTTATTAATTTAATTTCCTCCTTGTCTAACATTTAGAAGAACAAACGGGGAGCAAAAGCTCTCCCCCGCCTCCCTTGCATACATCGGATGGTAATCATATCTTATTAGCTATAGCCGAACAAGCGACGATGACCCTTTGCGTTATCCTCTAATGCCAGAGTGTCACAATCTGAGAATATTTGTTATACTCTCCGATATGTAATTGGACATTGATAAGAGGATATGGAGATAGAATTACTATCCAAGTTAACCGCAGAAATACAAGATGTACATTTCTCTTTCTCTTTCTCTGTCTCTTCCCCTTCTCTCTCCTCTTTCTCGGATGCTGAACTAGCCGGTATATGCACGCGGACACGTGTACCTAGATATATATCAGAAACATAATATCGCGTACGTCGTGGTTGCAAAGAACGTCGTTCTTTGTAACCGCGAATGTCAGTATAAATATTCCGCGAGCTCTCGTTTCGTGTTTTTTCTCAATTTTTCAATCGATTCGTAAAGCAACAGTTTTCTGACAATTAAACTTTCTTTTATTCTCTCATTTTATTTTTCAATTGTATATTATAACAATTTTATTGTTCAAATGAATATTATAATAAAATGATAACATGTAATGGAAACATATTGTAATAATATATTTTAGATTAATACAATGGAGTCTAATTTATATTGCAATGTGGAGTTCAGAATAAAAGAATAAAAAAAAAGAAAAAAAGAAATCTAATTGTCAACTGGACGATATTTGTGTGTCATACCCCAAACAAGAGGCATATAATTACTAGCAAAATAAGGATTTCCTCTTCAATCTTGTCACAAGTCACGAAAGTTTAAAGTGAAGAACATATCGCTCTTTTGAATCTGTCCCTCGATCTGCCTACGCGAGAGTAGTAAGAAGGTCGTTTTCCAGGATCGGAGATCAAATGATTAATCTCGTGAAAAAGAAACGCGCGGCGAAGAGGAGTAACGCGGCTGCCGCCGCGAAAGCGACGGATCGTATCCGCTGCTCGCAGTGCGAGGCACTCCGCCGATGGCTTTAACGAATGGTGAACGAGTCCATTCGTGGTAATTCGTACGTACTCATTGTCCGTAACTGGCGCATAACGGAGCGCTTGACATTACATAAAGGATCTCTAATTGCGCCGCGGAGCTAAATGACTTCTTTCTCGCGCGCGCGGACGAGCAGCCTCTTGATGAGTGCACCGGCGGCGGCGGCGACGGCGGCGATGGCGATCGCGATCTAAATCGAAAATGGGTCGTGTTCGTGTTACACCGCGACCATGTAAACACACCCTGGAACATACCATCGGGTATCTAATGGTTTAATACGACTAATGCGTCGCCGGAAGGTGGGCTTAAATTCAGTGCCGTGCCCGCGATCGTCGGATCCATTGGCAAGCGCCGCATGGTGTCTTGTGTGAGTCAGTCATCGAGTAAAAATATTTTCAGTTGACAAATAAAGTAATTCTCTGATTCGAATTAAAATCAAATTAATGCGTTTTGGCGCATCCTTTTTTCATCGATTTTTTGTAAACGCTTTATACAATATTTCGACATTTCTTCTGCTATTTTAGATTGAGAAATAGAATGTAGACAATAGATAGAGAAATTATTCTATAATGATTAAATACCAGAACGGCTCATAAATCTATTTGAAGTGTAAGTGTGTTTGCATTCATCATAATCAATTTTTAAAGAATATATTCTATTTTATATAACATTTATGTAATGTGACATTAAGACAGAAATTATTTTTTAATATTGTATTACTATACTTTATATTATCTTTCTTATTGTTTAAAAATTTGTAAAAAGTTATGCATAGACTTAATTACCTCTGGATACAAGAAGATAATTTCCTCGTTAATTTTAATAAAATCACATAATTGTACACGGAATATCGTTTCTCTCTCTCTCTTTCTCTCTCTTTCAACTTCGTTGTTAAAAGGAGAGCATGTGGTCGAAATGTCACGTTTCTGAGAACGATGTTATTTGTCACGATGTCACAGCTGGCCTTGACCTTCAAGATAACGTATATTTTTAGGGGTTCCATACGATTATACGATTTTGCTTAATATCCTTCACGTCCGGACATTAGCACGAGCGCGATCAATTTCCCAACACGAACGGTCGAACCGACCGGTCCAGCCCGATATCACTTCGTCGCGTCGCATCGATTCGGAAATTCGTGATACGGATGATGGGACGTCGGAAGGAAGCGAGCTCCGCGAGCAATTCGCGCGAAGGAAGCGCGGCGTAACTCCGAATTTGTGGGCGCGCCGAAATTTATGTGCGGCGCGGGTTCGTAAAGATGCGCGGCCGCGAGGGCTTAACGAGGCGGAGACGGAGCGCGCGAGGAGCGTAACGCGAGCTTTACTTATCGCGGAAGTAATAAAGACCGGCTGTTTTTCCTCATCTCGGTAACAACCGAGGAGAAGAAGAAGGCGAAGAAGATCGCGGAGAGCGGCGACATTTTTTAACGAGATCCAATTAAAAGCTCGCCCCGCGCGGCCGCGCGTCGCGGCACGCAACGTCCGCGGCGCGCGGTGCCCGTGAGCAGCTCACAACGGAGCTCCGCTCCGGTAGTGTGCTTTACTTTTATTACAAAGCCGCGCGCGTGACGCGAAACTTTAAATTAATACACCACACGCTATGTCTGTCCTTCTCTCATCCCGTTAAAGCAATAATTACGCTTCTTCGCGCGCGCGCGCACGCGCGCGCGTGGGCGGGAAACAAATATTTACAAACGGAAATAATCACGATCGCATTTGACATCGTTACACGCGAGGAAGACTAATCAAGGGAATGGTACCGGCGGATATATATATTCGTTTAATATGAAACTAAATCTCTAATCTTTCCCGCTTTGGAGACTGGCTTGTATTCTGTGTGCGAAGACATGGTCCTCTCGATTTTTTTCCTTTTTTCAACATAACGCGGCGAAACGCGGTGAAACATTTTTAAGATTTAATTATTTTGTCTTTCACGAACTTTTGAAGGGTCGAAAGAATTATTGGAATTTCTTTTATATACAAACGTGTCTCTATATAGTATACTTTTTTTGTAGGACTTTACTGTAAAAATTGTTTGCACGAGTTCTTAAGATGTCAGTTAAAATATTAGAGATCCGAGAAAATGCGATTTTTATATAAAAAAATAAAATACTTGAATTTATTACTTTTAATTAAAATCGCAATAAGTTAATCTACTTAAGACTATTTAAAGAATGGGGATCAAAAAGCGACGTGTAGCGGAATTTTGCGAAGTTTAAAAAAAAAATGCGAACTTTAAATTTTTAATTTTTAGAGCCGAAGGAGTATTCAGATATTGGCATAAGAGTTAATCCTTTTTGCGGGCGCTCGATGCCTCATCGATCGACAATTCGCGTCAGTTCCCGAATTCAATTTGTCTAATGAATGCGCGAGCTCATTTTTCCGTTGCGCGCATCACGTTGATTAAGTTTCGCGCTAGCGTTGGAGAGGCGGATCGCGGCCGTTGATCGTTCTCGCGTTTCTCAGCTATTCCCGATTACACACATCGGGGCGATGAATCAATAATTGTTGATGTTATTGCATGCGCGCTAAAAGTATCATGGTGATCGCGCGGACTGTATCAATACGGAGCACAGTCCCGTATCGCGTAGTATATACCATTTCGCGCAAATTGCGCGCTGGATATAAGTAATTAAGCTTAATCTACATTATAATTAGACTTCTCTTTTTACGAGAAGGAGAGGAAATTTAATTAATTTCAACTATATTGCTATAAGTGTTGTACGTATAATCAATGAGAAATACATAGTCTCATTGCATTTTTCAAATAAAATTTCAATTTTGAAATGTTTATGAATATTATGAATATAAAAATAATATAAAATAATAAAAAATACAGCTCGATTTTGTAGTAACACTATAAATAAAAACGGGCCAAAGATGAGCAACAAAATTATTAGATGTTCAATTATTGATTCATTCAATGTAGTAATATCGCAAAATTACTACATTGAATGAATAAATACTTAAACATCTAATAATTATGTGACACGTTTTTATTTATAAAATAATACAAGTTTTTATGAAATTAAAAAAAAAATAGATAAACGATTTAGAAAATGGTTCAAATTAATTTGCAGAGTCATTTTCCAACGTGCGAAGGCCTCCGGTTAAAATACAATTTAATGCAATTACTTGGCGTAATTACTTAAAGTAGTGGTTTGCAAAGAGTAATATTATTGGCAGAAACATTTTATATCGTTCAATACAAATATAAATACATACATACGTATCCAAAATTGTTATTCGTTGTGCGCGAGAAAAGCGTTTCAAAATTGCTCACAGTAAAATAGCTCGTCATCTTAAAATTCAATATCATCGATTAATGGAAGACGCGTTTGGTCTGAAAATACTTGTGCCAGATGGGAAATAGTGTTGCAACGTTGCACGTATGACTACATACATAAGCCACATGAAAAATACCAATCCCAGAAACATGAAAGGACCGTAACTGTAACAAAAAAAAAAACTCTAATTATACGAGATACTTGTCGATAGAATTACATATATACAATTTTCCGACAATAAGATAATTTCCCGATAGATAAAAGAAGAAATCAGAACTACGTACTTGGTAAGCCATGCGATCAATACGCCAAACGCTATACTCATGAGGAAGCTATAACTGGCCAAAGATCGTAAACTTAATCGAGGCGGCAGTCGTTCTTCGAAGCCACTGCTAAATCCGTTTGACGTTCGTTTGGGTAGCTTTACAATCGTGGTAGGTGGGGTAATCAATTGCCGACAGACACTACCGAGGAAGCTTCGTTTGCTGTACAGCGTGATTATCTCGTGTCGATACTGCAAACGTATCAGTAAGTAAGCGAATTGAAGAACAGCAATATATGATGACACGATATACGATACCTTGAGATTGATGTAACAGCACAGCTTGTGAAAGTTTCTAACGAGAAAAGCGCACTCGTTCGTTCGAACCGGTTGCAGTTCTGGATCGCCCATATATTCGATATATCGGCACGTCTGTCTACCCTCTTGCAACGGCACGAAAGTACCGGGTCTGCTCGAGTCGAAGCTGGATTCCATCTATAAAAAAAAAACGCGTCTTTTAATCGATCGAAAGAACTTTAATAGAAATTTATTTCGATAATCCGCACCTGCGACTGATGACAGAAAGAAGTCGACAGAATACTGTCGTGATATTCTTGATCCGCGACTATAGCAACTTGTGGAATGTCCTCGAGTTGTATCTGCAACAATCGTGATTGCGTATGTTATTTAAGATAACAAGTAGGTGTGCGATTCGCACTATATTGATATTCAAAAGAAGTTCATTTACTTGAAATATATCTATCAGCTGCTGTTGAGCGGTGGCCAAGAGCACGGGGACGCGTCGTCGCTCGTCTATGCTGATGTCGTCCGAGGAGTATTCCTCGCAGCTAAAGAATTCCCACAGCGAGAGCAGAAAGCGCTTTCCCCTTCTTCTATTTTCCAGAGCTTCGACCAGGCTAGTCGCCGTTAAATGCGCTTGCTTAATGTTGCTCAAAAACCATACGACCTGCGGGACGCGATATAATCGTCCATTAATAAAGTTAGCAATTGACAGTTCGATTGAAGTCTGAAAATCTTCAGAGTGAAAAATACCTGCAGGTTAATGGCTGTCGAAAACATAGGAACGTATTGATACGTTGGACCCTCCAGCTCAAGAATCTGTTGCCTAACGATCGATGTCCATTGATTCGTCGTTATTCGGCCTTTGCTCAAGCCTACGTCATCCATGCAACTCTCCACCTCGCATATCATTTTTGCTAAGAACGGTTGCGAAAACACCTATATAAATATAGATAAGAAATATAGAAATACCATCTTTGTAAAATAATACGTAAAATGATACATTCGATGAGAAAATGCGCGTACCTTTGTAACTCTGAATAACATTAATGCATTCTTAGGCGCTACCAGGTCAGTTCTCATGAATCGTGGTAGCAGCTGCTGAAATACAACCGTATATGCTAACAGATTATTGGCAACGAAAGAGATCCATCTGCCAGGATCATGAATCTTGCCCCTTTCTTCTTCCTCTGCTTTACTGAGAATGTTACGAGAGAAAATATTAGCAAAACTATGATAAAATTTGGGCATTATCGATAATATATCACATACCCCTCTTTAGTATACGTTACTCCCGGTACGTATCTCCATGGCTGAATAAAGCTTAGCCAAGCTTCCAGTATCAATCTAAATGAGCTGTCGAGCGGCCAATGATATATTGCTTTCCGCAAAAATGTATATATTTTTCCTTGAACCGAAGGAAGAATTATTCTGGCAAATATAAATGAAACAAAAGAATAATATTGAAAGTCATGTCGTAACAGAGTTGTGAAATTTGTAAAATATTTATCTCAGTACCTCTTCAATTCGTCCATCGCGCTCTTGTCGCCTGTAGCGCTGTTCGTAAACTCGTGTAGCGTTTTTATGAACGCTCTCACAAGACGTATGTGTTCTCCGGAATGTATACTGTGCTGAAATTAGGAAGGGTTACAATAAATACGTTTGAAGTTGACGCAGCTTGTTCTTATTCCGCAAAATTATTCATTATTTTTCACGTATCATGTATTTATATCGTTTCTTTCGTCGCACTGAGAAAACTTACTCGTCGCGGTATCGTCGACAAATAGGATGTACTCAATTGGGAGGTCTGCAGCTGCGTGTCCTCTGTATACTCCAGCCAAAAGTCGAGGAAAACTTGCACCACAGTCTCGCTCCTCCAGACTTGCGGCAGGCACTGCTGTTGCGGCACGCCCGCCCCAGGGCTCACCGATCCCGATGACAATATAGACGTTCTCAGAAGTCTCAACGTTTGCAATTTCTGACAATCTCTGCATCGAAATTCAAGACATACGAATAAGGCGCACTTGCCACTCGAGATTTGCGCGTCTTATCTACCTCGCTGTAGGCACAAAGTGTCTCCCGTACCTTCGGAATTCCGGCGACTGAGTCAACTTCCTCGGCGGCGTCTTCTTCACATACGGCCCGATCACTGGTAGAACCGCAGAATTGTCCCGTGGCAGGAAATGGTACAGATAACAATGCGCCAATTGAACGTAAATCGTCTCCCAATTCATCCACACGTTTTCTTGCTGTTGGAGTTGCAGCCAGGGATTGGTCAAATGATACGCAAAATGAAAGATGTAGTACTCGAAGGGATATGTGCTTGCGTTAAGGAACATTTAGTGCTAATAAATCATAATGATAATATTACGATTTTCGGCAATAATCCTATAGTACGTATTAATTGTGAGACATTTAATAAAGGATACTCATAGATAAAGCTGAGGGAACGCGTGTCCCTTGATCGTCTCTAATCTTATCAAGGTAAAATGGTGATATTATACCTTCCTCCAACATGGAGCGTATTTTCGACTGGAATGAGAAACATTACAGTACATTAAAATAGTCATTAAAAAAAATGTAAAATAATACATATAGCATAAATTCAATTTTTAAACACACCGGAAGATAGGACACTGGAAAATTATACTTCAGGTAACAATCTGGAAGTAGTTTGTAACATAAAGAAAATATTGATCCTTGTGGGCTGAGAAAGTGACACAGCGCCTCATATTCCAGTGGATTTTTCTTGAGGGTGATATTGTGCAAACCCCATCCGATATTGTCTACTATTCCGAATAAGGAGTCTATCAGCAGAGGAAAGACTAGCTGCAGTTCAGTGGTGCTCGACTCGTCTATCAATATGGACAGATCCCTGCATCGCTCTACCAATGGCTCGTTTAAATATCTCTGAGCTCTGATCTAAAATTCGATGGACATAGCACAATAAAGATATAACTAGGCTAAAATATAAATAAAATATATGTTAAAATATAAGTATCAAACATATGTTTTAACTAAAAATAAAAGTATAATCTATTACATATTTCTTTAATATAAATCACATTAATTATTTTCATCAATTTTTAACAGATCAATATATACAAATCCTATTGTATTAAAATATAAATTTATATCTATGTTAGTCAATGCTGAGGTTACGTTTGATGACGAATAACATTCGTATTTATAAATCTCGATGTTACTCCACATTGTTTACATTGTTAGATATCTCTTGAAATGACAATCGTTTTTTACAGTGCATGAATCAATAATACATACCGTAGCGACATCAGTGGACGAAGCCATTGTTCATAATTTTCGAACTTGGATAAATTATTAAAAAAACAACAATTAAAGAATAATATTTATGTGAAAAACTATTGTGCACTTCTTTTGAAGCTCGTGCCGGTTAACCACGCTAACCTCTAAGCTCTGTAACATTATATCTGTTATGAATCTGCAGTAGCGCTATTCAGAAGTTCGAGAACTCACTTGTGAAAAGAACGTTGCGCGATCGGTATAATCGTAACAGAGGGCGCGAACTTTTAGTATTTAATATTCCCTTTTTTCACATCTTCTGTTCAACATATGTATATGTAGTAATTATTATATATACGTAATTAATATATTAATTAATATATAGCTAATGAATTGCATATTATTGTACACATTTTAATATACTAATAATTGTCACATTATATTAATTGATTCCAATATTTCTGAAGTTTCCAAATTTTTTATTCAATTATCTTACAATTAGAAAATATTTAACTGCATATTATACAATTGTATTGCATTAAAAAATATTTTTTTATTATTTAATATACAATATGTTAATATAATTATAACTTTCTTTTTAAGAAATAATGTTGCGAAATAATCCTAGCAGTTATAATATCGATTTTATCTTTATCATATAAATCTTTATCTTTATCTTGTGAAAGCCTCCACGCATTAAATTGTAATTTCGCAAACATGATAAAGCAACTATGATATCTGAAATTAAGACTGGAAGCGGTATAAATCATGTGTCATAAAATTTTTTATAACGTTATGTGATATCACATTTGTCGATCGACTTTTTACATATCACATTTTTTTCGATTAATTAACAAACAGGCGTATGCACATGAGGTAGTTGCGTGTTTATATATCCTTAATGCATTTATCGCTTTTGGTAAGTAGGTAAAAACGGTATATATGAAGTCCATTTCCACCTGAAAAATATTAATTTATAAATATTTAATTGTCACATACGTTTAGATAAAAAGCTATATGCTAAAAGACTATATGTTAATACCTTCTCAACAGACTCATTCCGAACGGTAAATCGAAGGTATTCCAGGTGTACTCAACATCAGACACTTCGTCGGTTTTCTTGTCAGTCGCGCGATCGGGCAGCTCCATTTCCTTCGCCCAAGCTTCCAATCCACGGTCTTTTGCGTTACCTTAAATTCATAAATTATATGGCAATTAAATTATTAAGAACATCCCGTCATTATTAATTACTTCTATCAATAATACCTGGGATGATGTTATCCAGTAAACAGCCTAACGCACCACCTACTAAAATAGTGGTGCTAAGTAATACGGTGAACACGCTGTCCGCTACAGAGTTTCCCGTTTGTATCGTATCCGGATATTTGATCAGCCACTTCGACAGGACCTGAAATTGATCATAGAATCATTTTCGTTTGCCTATAAATGTGCCCATATAAATATGCATATATAAATATGAAAGCGTATAAATATAGCGAAAATCGATGTAATTGATTAATTGAATTAAATGCCATTGCATCCTCGAGTATGTATATATTACACCCTTTGGTTACTCACCAAAGGGAAAAACATGGACAAGCCCAGGATAAATAAGTTTCTTGAGGAATTAAGATTTACATATTGTAACGCCGATAGGCCTGAAAATAAGAATTGCGGATGAAAAATTAATAAAGTAATAAAAATGAAAAAAAAAAGGATAATGCAAAATAATCAAAAAATCATTAATAAAAGCAATTTTCTAATTACTTATATAAATGTTGTGAATAAACTCAACATCTTTTTCACGAAATCTGTCTATCATGATTTTGCATATCTTGTTTAAATCTTATAAACATTGCGAGCGTCGATCTTATAAGCGCCTCTCCTCTTACTCCGAGACTATATATGTTAAAGATACTTTGCGAACAAGAACGTAACGTAGAATTAATTTACGCTCACCGAAAGCACAAATCATCCCAAACATCACGCAGAATATTCCGCCGACTATCGGCTCGGGAATTATGATGAACACCGCGCCGAATTTGCTGATCACACCCTGCAGGATCATCAGGAAGCAGGCCCACTGTATGACTCTGCGGCTGCCGATTTTGGTGACCCCTAATTGTTTCCGTTACATTCCATCAGATACTGTTACATTGTAAAATCCGCGTTAAGCTCGCAATTATAATCGCCCATTTACCTATCGTGCCGACGTTCTCGCCGAACGTATTCGTGCCGTTGCCGCTACCCCAAAGACCGGCCAGCATCGTGCCCAAACCTTCTATGGCGATACCACGGTTGATCGCATGAACCGGTGGCGGTGGAGCTCCTGAAAGTTTCGTGATAAATTATGATCAATCATCGCTATTGATAAAAATTTTATACTCAATGTAAGTCTCATTCTATCATATATAATATCGCCTTTGCGATAATAGAAGACTTCTCCTGAAAAGAGTCATGACATAGCAACCATCTGAATGTGAAATTTACTCTAAAAGGAGCAAAAGGAGAAATTACTCTAAAACGTATAATATAGATACCTACCACACATTCTCGCGGTAGTCGGATAGTAGCTGATCGACTCGACCGTGCACGCTAATACTCCCGCTAACATACCGAGTACGCCTGATAACGTTACGGTGGGTACGCCCCACTGTCCGGGATACGGTACGCGAAACCAGGGTGAGTCGTTTATAATTCTCAATTTGCTGTCCGATCTGGCGGGATGACCGAACGGTAGAGTGTCGGTCACCGTTAGTATGGTGCAAATTATCCACATAATGATTATCGTCAGCAAAACCTAGTGCAACAAGTACTCGAGATACCTGAGTAAATATTGGCAATATTCCTATGTCAATTTTTCATTTTGAAATAACGATTGATTTATAACAAACTCATAAATAGGCATAAAATTTTTTCGAATATATATTTTAAATTTAAAAAAAACATAAATGAAGAATATTTAAAACAGAAATCCAAAAATCATGTTTATATATTTCTATATCACAGTAATTCACATCATCATTATGGGATTCAAGATCTTTTTCTACCTCTTGCATGGTACTTACTGGGAAGAGTTTGAACAATTCGAACCAGATAACGTGGAGTCCTTGGCCTTTGCGATATATTAGGAACGGAAATGAAATGTTGACCATTATTTGAGAGCATGTTGTCAGTAATATTATCGTTCTAGAAACATACGCGAGCATTAAGTCCTAAGTATTATCTGATTTATTAGATATAATATTAAATATAAATCCTAATAATTAGCTCTAATTATTATCATATTATGTAACATATATTTATATACAATTTATACATATAACACATACCCAGCCGCGATACCCCAATGCTGAGACGCGGCGTCCGCTGCGTTTTCGAAGAGGGACAGCCCGACTAGCGAAACCGTCGGCACGATCGTCAGTGGAGTTATAATCTTCAGCAAATATCCGACGATACCTGCATGCAAATGCGTTTTTAATGCCTTGTGATAAAAAGAAGAGTTAAACAAAAAAAAAAATAAAAAATTGTATTACGCAGCAATTCAGCGGTTAAAGCTGACGACTCACCTCCAAACCCGATGATCACTTGGAACAAGGCGGAAACAGCGATGGCACCCGACAGTTCTCTCATCCGAATCTGCCAAAGCTCAGTTCGGTTCTCGTGGGACATTTGTTCGAGGACTTCCGGCGCGGGACACTGCCACTGCGGCAAATTCAATATCGCCAGAGTCGGCACCAAGAACGATATGGTGCCACCCTGCACCAATGGCAACCTAATGCAAATGTACATTTCTTTTTGGTTAAAACTTGCTATCAGTATTCTTACAAGCGCCAAGTAATATAAAATTTTATGTTATATTTGCAAATAGTCATTAGAATGTTAGATATATTTCTCAGCGTACAAAGCCTCAAAAAATTCTATCTTTTTAGCAAGAAGTTTTGTTTAATGCAAAAATGACTTTATTAAGCGAATATACCGAGAGTCGTCATTTATTGTATAATTATTCAATTTTTAGTATTTAGTTTCGTAAACTTCAAAATAAATTTCATCTGAAATTAACTATAATACTTATGTATTATCTCTTACATAATTATAGTTTTTTTATTAGCTATAGTTTTATTATGAAGACATAGCTTTTTAATTTTTTTGAAAATCTGGAGATGAGTATTATACTAAAAAATTGGTATGGAGGTAATATTAATTGCGATGATTTATGTGCATCTATAACTGTTGAAGCAAAAAACCGATATGAGATAATTATTCTATGCAGTAATAAATTTTATGAACACGCCATATATCTTATTGCAGACTTATTTTACACTTACCTACATCCTACGGTAGTTTGAATAAACGTTATTAGACCAGTAACAAAGATCATCGTAGAAATAATGTGGCTTCTCGCGGGATCATCTTCGGCCATGCAGAGGGCTGGCGTTAGAATGAAAGGAATAGAAACAATGGCACCAATCATAGTTAAGTAATGCTGAAAATACATTTGTTTTTGTTTCATTGGAGTTAATTGTATTAATAAAAAGAATGACATTTATGTTAGATTCGGAAAATTAAATTAAAATTTTCTTATTACGACAAGCTGATATTACTATTTCTCTTTCTCTCTCTCTTCGTTTATTCAACAGTTTGCTTGCTTGTTCCATGTTACAAGTTAAACAACTCTGCATTAAGCTGCATATATATATATATGTCTGTGTGTGTGTGTGTGTGTGTGTGTGTGTGTGTATACACTTGTACAAAATTTATATCTTTCAGTAACGTCAAATCAGTGATCGACACATGTCATGTTCCGTTGAAGAACATCATACTTATGGGCCATAGTCTTGGCGCGCAT